TATGCGACGCCCCTCGCCACAACAACCCACCGCCCCTCTCCAAAATGTTCCATCGCAGTAGCGCCGCCCTCCCAAGGCACTTTGCCGCCCCTCCCCAGACGCCTCTCTGCCCTTACGTGCCTCCCCTTCTCAGAATGCGTCGAAACGTTTGATGATTCGCCCCTTCCTATAACGCTCCATCGACATCTGTGCCGCTCTTGGCCCGGGGGGGGGGGGTCACGCCTCCCCCTGGCAAATATTTGCGATAGCTCAGTCAGGGGTGCTTAACTTGCTGCTGTTAACATATACTAACTACGCATTGACTTGGCGAATTGCGATGAAACGTGTCCGATATAGGTGAACATCGTGCGGACCGGGGGATTCATAATTCCATGGCTAGGTATCACAGTTTGGTTGCTCCTCCTCTGAACATGCGCAAGTGCAGGACGTGCGCACGTTTTGGCGGGCTCTGTATGCTGCCCAACACAAAGTGTCACATTTTGGGCTCGATAACTCAAAGGGACTCGCCTAGCGAATTCAGCCCATGAGAGCGTCAGGTGAGACGCTCTGATCGCAAACAACCATCGAAGCCGCGAAATGGCCCTGTGTGATCGCTTGATGTGAGCCTTCCGGGCCAACGAGTAGTGTCCTGAGCGCGCAGCGAGACTCAGAGTCATCTGAAGCTGAGCACTTGGAAGAGTCCTCGGTCTACTGTGGGCCCTTGAGTGGGTGAGAGGTCTTTGGCTGGATCCCGTCCTGCAGGCTCACGCCTGGAATGGGTCCTATTTAAGCAGGCTCGAAAGCTTAGGGGCCATCAGAGGCCGGTGTGGGGCTCTGAGAGTTAAGCGTGGCTGCTTAAAAGTTGCGTACTGCTTTCAGAAGGCCTGTGCGTTGGGCACCCAAAGACCAGCGTGGTGCCTTAGAATGCCAGTGTCACGCCCTCAGAGATGCACCGGTCAAGCCCTTTGAGGTTCTCAGAGGCGTCGGTGTGGGGCTCTCACAGGCGAGTGTGTGATCCGTTGAGGTTTTGGCGTGATACCCTCAGAGGCCGGTGTGGTGCTGTTAGAAGCTGGTGGGGGCGTCCAGAGTCTTCAGCGTAGGACCCTCAGAGTCACCGGTGAGAACTCTCAGCGTCACCGGTAAGTGGCCGGACCGTGGGCAATGAGCCGGTATGGGACCGTCAGAGGAAGGCACCGGTGTGAGACTCTAAGAGACGTCAGTGTGAAGCCTTTACAGTTGCCCGTGTGATGCAATGGGTGCACTGGCGTGGCGCCCTCAGAAGGCCGGTATGGGATAAAAGCTTAGCGAGGTGATAAAGGACTTGTGTGGTGCCCTCGGTAGGACCCTCAGAAGTACCGGTGTAGGACCTTCAGAGCCACCGGCAAGGAGCCTTTGGAAGCATTGGTGTGGGGCCCTCAGAGGTATTATTGCTGACTGAGGCCAAAGAGGTGCCGGTGTATACCCTCAGAAGTGCTAGTGTGAGGCCCTGAGAGACGCTAGTGAGGGTCCTCAAAGGCGCCGTTGTGGGCCCTCAGAGACACTGGTGTGGGGCCGTCACAGACGAATGTGGGGCCCTTAGAGGCTTGAGCTGCTGGTCTGAACCCTTTACAAGCCAGCAGGGGGCTCTCAGAGACCAGCAAGGGGTCCTCAGACCAGCAAAGGGTCCTCATAGGCCGGCGCTACCTTCAGAAGCCCTGTGGGGTCCTTAGAGACCGGTATAATACTTTCAGACGCCGTTGGGCTACTCGAGAGTCGCCGATGTAGGGCAATCAAAAGTCACCGGTGGGTGGCCGCCAGATGCGCTGGTGTGGGGCCCTCAGAGGCGCCGATGTTGGGCCCTCAGAGCCGCTGATTTAGGTCCTTATGAGGCACTGGTGTGGGGCCCTCAGGGGTGCCAGTGTGGGGCCCTCAGAAGCACTGGTATGGGGCCCTCAGAGGTGGCAGTGTGGGGCACTCAGAGGCGCCGGTGTGGGACCTGCACAGTCGCCGGTGAGGCCCTTCACAGACGCCAATATGGAGTTCCTCAGAGACACAGGGCTATCAGAGGCGCGCATGGGGCCCTTAGAGCTGCTGTTGTGGACTCCTCATAAGCCGACAAGGGGATCTCAGAAGTCGATGGTGCGTTGAGGAGCCCTTTGGGGTCCTTAAACACCGGCGTGGTTTTCTCAGACGCCGCTGGGACCCTCAGAGTCACCAGCGTGGGGTCGTCCGAGGCACTGATGTGGGGCCCTCAGGACCGCCGATACAGGGCCTTTAGAGATACTGGTGTAGGTACTCAGAGTTGGGTGGCGTGTGACCCTCAGATACGCCGGTTTGGGACCTCGTAGGCGCCCGTGTGGGCCCTCAGAGTCGCCGTTATGGGGACCCTCAGAGAAACTTGTGTGGGGCTATCACAGACGGTTTGAGGCCACTAGAGGTGGCTGTAATAGGCCGGTAAGGTCCCTCAGAGACCAGCAAGGGGCACTAAGAAGCCGGCGTAGGGCTTTTATGGGGAACTTTGTGGCCACTTAGGGGCCCATGAGATGTCCTTACGAGCCCTGTGGGGGCACTTCTGAGTCGAAATATGACCAGAAATATGGCCAGTTAAACCCCAGCGGCCCATTGGCGCCACAGGGCCCCTCGTGCCCGTGTGGGGGACCTTCGAGACCGGTTTGGGCCCTCAGAGGCGCAGGTGAGGGCTATCAGTTGCCATGACGGGGCCCTCAGAGAAATTGGAATGGGAACATCACAGACGGATGTGGGGCCCCTAGAGGTGGCCCCTAATGGGCTGGTAAGGCCCCTCAGGCTGGTTAGGGCGCTCTGGCCGGTAAGGACCCTGAGGCCGGTAAGGGCCGTGAGGCCAATAATGGCCCTTAGAGACCGTTGAGGCCCCCTCGCTTTCGACGCCCATGGTCAGACTCAGATCCCATTGCAATTGAAGTCACCTGAATGAAGTGAACTATTGAGTGTGCCTGTCATTTATCAATCTGGTGCGACGTGCGTAGTAGCAAAGTCAAACTGCTAGCAACGGGCTGACCACCCATCTTACGTATGCATAGCTACCGCATGAAGTACCAAATCTCAAAGACCAGGTTGTGGCGTGTTCTCTGCGTGTGCCCCTTATGTACAACGTGTAGTCAGCTGATGAATGTTGAGTATTGTTCTTCTTTCCCAAAGCGGAAGTACTTGATACACAACAGTAACACGGTAAAGGCCCTCAAGCACTCACCTCCATGACTCCCAAAACATAAGTGCCGCCCTTCCCTTGGCATTTAATGCCGCCCCCGGAGGGCGTTATTTCCAGCCCATTTTGTAAGGAGTGGTTACGCCCCTGATGCCATGCCCTCCAAACCAGATTCTTCAAAGGGGTGCGAGTTCACATAGGCCCCAGAATGCCTCCCACTGTGTAGTACAAGACACGGGTCATGACCCCCCCCCCCCCCCCACACACACACACCTCAGACGCCGCACGTGCAGACGCGCTGAGATCAAAAGAGCCGCCTTCAGGGACGGACAGGCAGCAGACGAGGCGTGTTCGTTGAACGCTCCGCCGCCGCCATGTTTGTTTTCGCAGGCTAATGACTAGCCAATGGGCAGCTAGAAGAAAATGACGTCATTGGTTCCAGGAATGACTGAAAGGAGACGTTGTTTGCACCTTGGTGGTCTCTTTGAACAGGTCTGCTGTGAGATTGGAACGGGGCTCAGATCACATAGCGTTATTAAAATAAAAAAATAGGATAAGAGCAAGGTAAATGGTTAACGTCACCCAGGTGCACAGGCACTTGATTTTAGAAATCGTAACGTATATTTATCCAACGCATTTTATAGCTACCTGTGTTGTTCCATCGTAACAACTTCCCTGAGTCGGTTATGTAATTTATGACCCCACGGAGTTTTTATGAACGAAGTGCGGTCTTGCTCTGCCAAGCGGAATCGTTTGAAAAGAGGTCACCTTGCGATTAATTTCCGACTGCCCGAGGTGCCAAGAGAACGTGTTAAACAACTGTTGGCACTGTGCCAAATGCTGCGGCGTGAGTCGCCCGTTGATTTGGCTGAAGGACCATCCAGAATGACGTCCGGACAGGGTGCATGACGGCCCGACACGGTCCAGTTTGAGCTGGATGACGGGTCCAGACACCGTCAGTTGACAGATATAGTCGCCATTGAGAAACGTACGAACCTGGTACGAACCTGAGCGGAGTAGTCTGGAAGGTCAGAAGCGTCTAAATAACAAAAGAAAACAAAAGACAAATATAGTCGTCGTCGATGACGAATGTAGTCGCCCTGAATAAGGATCATATTCGCCCTGGATAACAGATATAGGGGACCTATTTTTTTATTACATTTTGATCGTCATTGATGTCATAATATAGCCGCTATGTTTGATGGAAGATGCAGTCGCAATAAAAAAATTAAAAATAGGTATTGAGGCGGCATTTCACATAAGATATGGTTCTTGCAGCGTGCTTCTCTGCCCGGTATGACCTGACCTCACACTGACCTTAGGAGCAACGTAACTCAATAGCTTCCCATTGCACAACCGTCTGAGCATCCTCACCAACAGAGAGGTATGTTTTAGCCTGTGGCGGCTTGTAGCTCGTCTTGGGAGGCTCGGAAGACAGGGAGGGGGCATGGGAGGGACTTGGCAGTCGCCACGGAGGCATCGGAAGTTCATGGGTCTAGCGGTGAGCCAGCTGATCATGTGGCCTTTTGGACAGCGGGGCTTTTGATCTTGTTTAGAGGCAACACATAACTTGCATCAGGCGGAAGGTCACGTGCCAGCACGACGAGAGGCCAGCGAGGGATATTGTTGATGCGGTGGTGTGGTGTTGAGACACTTGGCTCGAACTAAGGATGAAAAATACAGTCTGGAGACTTTTGATGATTTGTTTCTCCGCTTCATTACACCCACTACTTCCGCCTTCTACACTGGAATTTCTGAGCCACGCCCTAATGCCGCTTGCGTAGCAGCTGATCGTAGGCCAACCTCCCCTCCCAACATAAATAGACTCTTCCGTTGACTGTGCCCTCCCCTCCAACAGAAATAGACTGCCCCGCTTCCGAGTCGGAAGCGGGCCGGTCGCGCGAGGCGCCTGCCCGGCTGTCCGCGTCACCCGACTCACCTAGTTCTCCCACCGACCACGGTGTCACTGGTGGCGCCACCGTCGCCGACCATGTCACCGAACTGCAAAAGAATCTCAGCGAAGATTTCAGTAAGAAAATGCAGGTGAGGCAATGCATCACTACGAATCCCAACGGTCCGTAGAGAGCGCTCTGGCCCCCGGTCTCAATGAAAATAAACCCGCCTGGCTCCGCGGCTCCCAGTGAGTCTAAATATACCGCACTGCTGCGAGTGGGAAACCATTCAAGGTATATATTTAGTCTCACGATGTGGTGTTTCATCTCTGCCATAACCTGTCTTGGATAGACGGAAGTGCGCACTATGGCGTGTGTGTGATGAGTTTGACCGCAGACTCGCAGGTGCCCAACATGTGACAAGGCATGCGGGCAGAACAAATGCGTAGTCGAGTAAGATGGATCGGGAGCATTTGAGTGTCCGGAGGTCATAGGCGACCCAGATATGATGCCATGTCATTTGGCGGTCTTGTGTGTTTATAGCTGACTCAGTCCGACGGCCCCTGCCAGTCCGGAGAGGAGACTCGTGAAATTAATGAATTTAAATATCTAAAGCATAGCTCAAGATACTAATAGTGTAAGAGGGTGGACATGCATTTGATATATATTTTCCTTACATTGCTGCCTAATTTCATTAAAAAATTGTCTTGCTTTTACAACGAAAAAAAATGCGGAGTGATCTAACAAAAAAAGAGATAAATTGCACAGAACACTTAGGAGGCGGCATCTGTCCAGTTTTTTTTTTATTAAGAAATACATTTTGGCGAGTGTGCCTCGCAAAGAAGCAGTCGTAAATGCGTGCTCTATCATCGTTGATCTCCTAAAATCACCCACAGGAATGGGAGCGGAAAAGGAGCGGCGGCCCGTGTCGGGTCGCCGAGGAGCATGAGGCACGCCCAGAGCGAAGGAGCCGTAAGGAGGAGGTCGAGCGCCAGCGGAAGGTCACTCAGGTCAGTCTAGTTAACATAACACCCGGAATGTCTCCACATTACAATATGACATCCTTGGCTATGTGAGTTGTGCTTGCGGTTTTTGGATTGAATAATCGCGAAATGTCAATAAATCATCATCCAGATCTGTCGTGCCTTACGCTTCTCGAGACGCCATGACGCAAGGATATGATGTGACCCCTCAGGCACCCTAGGCCATGACCTGTGACCTTGAAGATGCGCCTACCCTGATCATGCCGCAGGTACAACATGAAGAGCAACTTCCTGCGGAATTCCGACGCCGTCTTCACGAGTGGGAACGCAAACAGCGCGAGGGTAGCGGTCGCCGGAAACGAACCGAAGATGGTGGCCATCCGGAAGTCCGGCGGAAGCTCACCGACCAGCCGGAAGTCCGCCGGAAGTGCACTGACCAGCCGGATGTCCGCCGGAAGTGCACGGATGGAGAGCGACGCCGCGGGAAACATGAGAGTAGGGAACACGGGAGGCAACACGCTACAACACCCCAGGTAAGGAAAGAATGGGAAAATTATGGGGAAAATGGAACAAAACCTTAGTGCATACCACTAAAGGCGGTTCGGTATTTGGAAATCTGTTAGATGAATCGAGTTTTCTTTTGGAGAAAAAATGGTCTATTCGACTTATTAGCTAACAACGAATGAACATTTCCCCTTTTATAAATCGATAAATTATATAAAACAATAATCGTTTCCCAGAGATCTATTTTTCAGTTGTTACCTGTTGCGGGTACTAACTTTACTAACAAGATATCAGGTGAGTCCTTCCACTGTTGTTTCATCTTCCGCAGGCGGTGGAGGAGGATCACCTTCCAGCCGAGTTCCGTAAGCGTCTCACCGAGTGGGAGATCGCCAAGGCACTGGCCGGCAAGTCCCAGCAGAACGTGGAGCAGCTGCAGAAGCACCTGCCGTCAGAGTTCAACAAGAAGTACGAGGAGTGGAGGCTCAAGATGAAGATGGCAGAGGTGAAGGCCGGTCATGGGGCACCATCACAGGGACAGGTAGGCGGAATAGTGGAACCTCATTGTTTTCAGGTAAGAAATGCTACATGTCCGAGTGCAGAGTGGAATGTAGTTCTGCCGTGCAAAGGAAAAAAAGGGTGAGATCCTGTCTGGCCAAAAATTGATTTCACAGGAGGGACGAAAAGGTTGTCGCGACCAAAAATGAGTTATAACTTTAAAGTGCCACACGTCAGAATGACGATTTTGGTACCAAACAAAACGTCATGTTTCAATGTTTCTTCTGATACTAATATAATCGTGTAATGTTTTCTTAGATAAGCTTAAAATGCCTATCTTTTTTTTCCTTTGTAACTGGCTTGCGAAATTTCCAACAAGCGGTGTGGAAAAAAGCCGTCAGGTGATCAAGCGATTTCACGGCTTTTTGCCACGAACTATTAAACATTTGGCGGTGTGGAAGAAAAGGGTAGACGCGTAAATGAATGAATGAATGAATGAATGTCTGGGTTTAACTAGTGTTTGACCTAGCTTAAGGGCGGGCGGTTGGTCTCATTAAGTTGATACTGGTAGGACGCGGACGTGGTAGACATCATATTCGTCCGACGAATAATACGCAATTAGTCTGCATGCCTAGATGGCTGCATATTGCATCCTAGGTTTGGGAAAATGCCATTTTATCATAGCTGATAGTCCGTAATTACCTACCTATTACATGTCTTAAACATTAACCACATTAAACCTTATACAGAATTAAACAAAATAGTTCGTCATTCCTGTATTACGGAATCCTGCTAAAACATCAAACAGTCGACACGAATACAAACATTCAAACATTTCAGCCATTTTCCGTAGTATTGACGGCTATAAAACATCAAAACAGTCGATACAAACAGTCGACACGAATACCTACAAACATTCAAACATTTCAGCCATTTTCCGTAGTATTGACGGCTACAAACATGAAAACAGTCGATACAAACAGTCGACACGAATACAAACATTCAAACATTTCAGCCATTTTCCGTAGTATTGACGGCTATAAAACATCAAAACAGTCGATACGACTACAAACTGAACACCACTTCAAACATTTCACTGGTCAGCTCAGCCATCTTTCGTGTTATTGACGGCTAGGCAGCAGCCTATCCCATCAGGTCACGGACGTTTGTCCCGTTGAGGGATAGCCAGAAGGCGGTCTTATGACCATCCATAAGAGGTGTTAGGTTGTTGATGATTTTGGCCAACTTTTCCTTGTTAACCCCCCTGGGAGTCGTTCGCCTCTCTGGCTGCTCACATGGAATAAAAGTTGTTTTGAAAAGGTCGTAAGCCGACCACTTTGGGTGCCCATGGACAACCTTCACGTACAGTCGGTCGTCGTCCCGCCGCACCTGAACGACCTTTATTTCCCGCAGGAGCGGTCGCTTCTCCTCATCAGCGAGACGCTTCAGCTTCGTAGCGCTCACCCCACTGCTGACATCGAAAAAATCTCCCGGCGCCATCACATGCACTGAGCCCGCCATCTCACATGCCACAACGTAGTCCCGAAAGTCTTGCACACGCACACTAGATTTTGAAAGTTTTTTGCTCACCACCTGGTGCACCGCATCAGCAGACATACTAGTATGTCCCTTCTCTAAAAACTTGACTGTGATGGTTTTGACTGCAAGATCGCTCCTGTTGACACAATTTTGAAGAGCCGAGAGCAAGGTCCAGTTTTTGTTTTGGGCAGAGCAGTTATCTGCCCAGAAGGTGAACTGTTTCGTGTTGTGGTTCAGCTCCACGAACTTTATGAATGTTGAAGCGACGTCTGGTGCATCTCGGCCAGACACGCCCTCGTGCCACAAGACGGACACAGCCCCCTTTCCTCCCAACGGCGCGAAAGTCTCGTTGTAAGTTACAAGTCGCGGGGTGAATACGCACACTTTGTGAGGGAGGATGGGAAGGAGAGCGACCCTCATCATGTCCACGGACACAATCAGGTGCGACTCTGCTGACGCTGTGGTTTCGCGGTCTCGGGCGTACTCTGCCCTAGCCTGTTCGGCGCGATCGTGGTGGGCGGCGTGTTCCTGGCACGTGCTGCACGACTCATGTTCAAAGCAAGTTTTCACGTGGTGGTCAAATGCAGTACATATCTCGCACTCTTCTTGGCCTAAGCGAGCGAACGACACGTTGGCACTTCGCAGCGCTTTGCGAAACCGCTCGTAAGAGCAGATCTTGCCCTTTTCCTCCACAAGCTGCTGGTACATCACAGCTGCGTTGAGGTCCGGTGCGAGATATCGGCGTCTGGGGGCGTGCAGGTAGCGGTAGTGCGGTGCCATCGGACGGTACCGCTCAATGTGCCGCTGCAGCTCGTCCTCGAGTCTGGCTGCCACCGGGTTTGCCGCGCGCCCCCGCCTGTCCTGCTTTGGGATGAGTCGTCCCACGGCAGATATGATCGGACCGTCATTGTTCGCTGCGAAGCCGAGGGTTGTGAGACAGAACTCCTTGCACACCCTTCGATCGACCTGTTCTCCAGCTACAGGGAGACGGTAGGCGATGATGCGCCGCTTGGCAGATGCGGTGTTGGTGAGTGGTGGGCTGTCAGTGACAATGGGAGTAATGTCTCGCACGTGAGTGGCGTACCACTGCATCCTAGCCTCCCTTGAAAGTGAATTGACGGCCTCGTTGATGGCCTGGCGTTGTTCTTCACTGAAGTGAGTGGCACAACCGAATGAGCACGTGCGATTGCTGCAGGCAGGAGGCATGGGACGGACTGCATGCTTCTGTTTAAAGCCCAGAATTTGGTGTTCCTGAGTACGAGCTCGTTTTTTTGCGCCCGTGTGACTGCCCACCGTTGTCGGACGAGGAGCATCGGATGCCCCATCTACTGAGGAAGAAGCCCCGTGGGTGCTAATCGAGGCAGCGTCAAGTCCATCTCCACCGCAGTCCATGGACCGTGGGTTCGGGTCGTCTGGATCGACATTTGCGGTGTGTGCTGTCGGAAAGCCTCCCCAGCTAGACGCATGAGCGGCGCTACGTGGGTGGGGCGGGGCCATAGGGGCCATGTCACTATCACCTGCTGCGCCGGTACCAGAGGGACCAGAGGAAGCAATCGATAGGTCAGCGAGGGGTACATCGTTGAATGACGACATGTCACTGCCGGACGTATCCAGGAGTCGCAGGAAATCAAAAGGTCCCGGATCAACTAGGTCATTTATGTCAGTCAGACCAATCACGTCATGAGTCGCGACCTCTGTCGACACAGCCCAGGGGTCTTGCTCCCCGACGAAGGTCCCCTGCTCTGCGGCTGGGGTCCCGCCCTGCTCCGCGGCTGAGGTACCCTGCTCCGCGGCTGGAGTCTCGCCCTGCTCCACTGCAAAAGTCCCCTGTTCCGCGGTCGGGGTCCACTGCTCCGCGGCAGAGGTCCCCTGGCCACCGGACGGGGTCACGCCCTGCTCCGCGGCAGAGGTCCCCTGGCCACCGGACGGGGTCACGCCCTGCTCCGCGGCCCGCTCTCCAGCAGAGGTCCCGTGCTCCGCGGAAGAGGTCCCCTGGCCACCGGACGGGGTCACGCCCTGCTCCGCGGCCCGCTCTCCAGCAAAGGTCCCCTGCTCCGCGGCAGAGGTCCCCTGGCCACCGGACGGGGTCACGCCCTGCTCCGCGGCCCGCTCTCCAGCAAAGGTCCCCTGCTCCGCGGCAGAGGTCCCCTGGCCACCGGACGGGGTCACGCCCTGCTCCGCGGCCCGCTCTCCAGCAGAGGTCCCCTGCTCCGCGGCAGAGGTCCCCTGGCCACCGGACGGGGTCACGCCCTGCTCCGCGGCCCGCTCTCCAGCAGAGGTCCCCTGCTCCGCGGCAGAGGTCCCCTGGCCACCGGACGGGGTCACGCCCTGCTCCGCGGCCCGCTCCCCAGCAAAGGTCCCGTGCTCCGCGGCAGAGGTCCCCTGGCCACCGGACGGGGTCACGCCCTGCTCCGCGGCCCGCTCTCCAGCAGAGGTCCCGTGCTCCGCGGCAGAGGTCCCCTGGCCACCGGACGGGGTCACGCCCTGCTCCGCGGCCCGCTCTCCAGCAGAGGTCCCCTGCTCCGCGGCAGAGGTCCCCTGGCCACCGGACGGGGTCACGCCCTGCTCCACGGCCCGCTCTCCAGCAGAGGTCCCGTGCTCCGCGGCAGAGGTCCCCTGGCCACTGGACGGGGTCACGCCCTGCTCCGTGGCCCGCTCTCCAGCAGAGGTCCCCTGCTCCGCGGCAGAGGTCCCCTGGCCACCGGACGGGGTCACGCCCTGCTCCACGGCCCGCTCTCCAGCAGAGGTCCCCTGCTCGGCGGCAGAGGTCCCCTGGCCACCGGACGGGGTCACGCCCTGCTCCGCGGCCGGGTCGCAGCTGCCCGCCGGGGAGAGCACCTGTACAAAAAAAAGTATTTTTTAATCGATATCCATGACAAGTCAAATCATTGATTGTACGAAATATCTGCAAGCATTATGAAGGAAACGAAAAATCCGACACTCCCATAACCAACTGAAGGAGCGGGTCTTAATTTGCTATTATTTTTCTACCGTAGTGTCTTGAGTTGCCAAAAATATGCCCAAACACTTAGTGGAATATTACTCGTAGATTGTGTTGATGTAATGAACAGCATAAGAATCAAAATTTGATGCGATTTATCGCTTTATTAAGCTTTAATGGGTAAATCTCCAATGCCATTTTACATCAGTATCTTTGACCGCTTTTGCTGCGAGCCTTCATGCAGCTTACAAGTTACAGGTTGATAATGTCACGAACAATTAGCTCTCTCACCTGACTCAGGGCTGCTGAATCAAGGACGGGACAGGAACTGCTTCCGGCAGGATCGGTGAGGTTGTCGGACACGGGATTAGATGACCTTTGCCGTTCACGTACAATCGCCAGCGGCATATCATCATCCGGAATTTCTGCACCGAACACATTTTTTTTTGTCAGTCTCCTGAACCACTACGCATTGCCATTTTGTCATTAGCATAGCATAAGCGACATATCATTTTTTCACACGTAACCTTCTCAAAGGCGCTGCAGCTCTGCATTATTTTTATACATTCCATGGTGCTCTACACAATTGAATTGGCTACTCCTGTAACCCATATCAGCTAAAATTTGAGGATTTGGCATGCCTTTCATATCGGGTCAATGTCCCTTACCTTCCACAAGGCTCTGGCGAGTCTTGGAGCTCTTGGCCACCGCTCCAAACCACTCCCGGCCTCCGTGCCTCATTCGCACCCGCGACCCAACAGCGATTTCTTCCTCACACTTCAGTGCATTCAATGGCGAGTAATGTGACTCACCAGCGGTCTTATCTTCCCAAATCACTCGAACGTGTACGACTCCTCTCCTTCGGATGAAATCGGAGCCAGTCGGCGCTTCCGAAATCTTCTTGCGTTTTTTATCACACTCAGCGGATGAGATTGATTTGCGTTTTTTACCCATATTTGTAAAAAGGCAGGGATAAAGGCACCAACTCGGGGAGAATTGCTTCGCTTTACGTTTGATTAGCGCGCCAGACGTCTGCCAGCCGCCCGCGCGTGCTGTTTACTACGCGTAGTACGGCGATGTGTAAGGAGGATTTGGTGGGTTTTTAAATTGGCGGGCTAATTGTCAGTAAGCTTTTGCGACCTAACATTATGAAAAATGCTTGTGCAATCGTGCTCACAAACTGTAGTGCTATTTCATTGTCTGAATATCCAAATATGCCCTTAAAAACTGTCAGTCAATTAAAACTCGCCAAATGCTCTTCACCACAGGCACTCTCAGTCCCGGAGCACGCTTTATCTCACCCTTTTTTTCCATTGCATCGCCAGCACTCTAGATCATGGAAAAAAAGGGTGAGATTTCACGGCTTTTTTCCACACGACCAAAACCCAATTTTGTGTGGCATTCCAACTCACGGCTTAATGCCAACTTTCAAATTTAGATTTTCGGCATAAATTTTTATTCAATAATGCTTATGAACTACACCATTGAATTCGCCTCGAAAAGAGCTTTCATTTGATATAAATATCAAAAAATGTATTAAAATCACCTCACCCTTTTTTTCCTTTGCACGGCAGAGTTAGCATGGGCGGAAGACTGTCTCATTCATCGTCGGTATTCTAGTTTTTTTTTAAACGTTGTGCACCGACGATCTTTTCTGTCAGTTGTATAGAGGTCTGTCCACTATGATTTACCCAACATGATGATACCCAAGATGAGCAAGGTCTTTTTCAATCCAGTTGCACTGAAAGCCCCTTTTCCGAAGCCGAACCGCTGAGTCTTTCCCAATGTGTCGCAGGTCAGTCCGGGCAGTCAGAAGCGGAGGGCGGCAGAACTGCGCCGTCAAACCAGGACCAAGGACCTCCAGTGGCTGGAGCGGGAGCTACAGAAGGTCAGCTACGGCATCGAGTCGCTACTCAATGCGTCAACTTGCATAGTCATTAGATGACGCTCATGATTATCGATGACAATTACAAATATAAGTACAAATAAAATTACCAATACTACCACCTGTCGATGGCAATCACAAATACAAGCGATGGTTTTTGTTGTGTGAGTTGCACAACGCAGTAACAGCGTACCATTACCGCCAACAACCGATCGGTCCATGAGCAACAATTGATCATTCTTATGTGATGTTAACGTCGTTGTGAATTTGTGTTTTCTTTTCTTTTCAGGTTGAAAGAGAGAAAACACGGCTAGAAAGAGAGCGGGAGAAATATTTGGATCGGGAGGCCAGGTGAGGATATAACTGCTTTTTACGAGCGAGCGAGCGCAGCGAGCGAAGCGAAGTCTTTTCAATATAACGGAAAAATCTCAGTATGAGCGGCCCGGCCCGGCCCGGCCCGGCCCGGCCCGGCCTGTAACGCTTTTGAGAGGCTTATATCTCAGCAACCGCTGGACCGAATGGCCTGCGGTCTTTTTTGCTGGGTAGCCCCATCCCTTGTACCCCGTAATTGACTACTTTTGATACATCTAAGTGACCGCCGTGGCACGTGCCACGTGAAAAGCCAAGGGTGTTCAAGCAGTTTTGCAAAAGTAATGATTTTGAGAGGCCCATATCTCAGCAGCGGCTTGAGCGATTGTCTTGCGGTCATTTTTATAGGGTAGCTGCATCCCTTCTACCAAAGGTCGGATACTCTTCATCTATGTGAGTGACCCCCACTGCACGTGCAAAATACAACAATAAGAGGTGCCAAATTTGTTCCCATTTCAGTAACTCGGTAATTACTAGGGCGATTTCGCTGAAACTTGACATACAGGTAGGCACCCACCAGGCAATGCATTCCCATGTGTTGCGGTTAGGGTGCTACTGCACGTGCGCACGTGCAGGGGGCGTTTCCAGATCTCGAGAACGGCTGGGCCGATTGCGCTCAAATTTGGTACACGGTTAGGGACCGGTTAGTAGGGTGCCGTGCAAAGGTCATTTTGGACCCCGTTTGCACGTGCGCACGTGCAGAATGTCGCTTCCAGATCTCAGGAACGGCTGGGCCGATTGCGTTCAAATTTGGTACACCGCTAGCGACCGGTTAGGAGGGTGCTTTGCACAAGCCCGTTGGAAGTACCCTCTCGCCCTTCTGCACGTGCAGCCTGCAGGGCTCACTATCTCGCTCGCTCGTTCTTCGCCCAAAAGGCGTTTTACTGGTTTTAAATACAGCATATATTTGAGTTTGTGTCGTCTGTTGAAATGTCTTTTTTATGCCTCGTAGCTGTTCATCTCCGGTGTTATGTACTGTTTTTAGACCTTCCAAGTTTTATGCTAGTTTACCTGATTATCTCTATCAGCATGATACTTCTTTTCTCAAAGACAGTCCGTAGCGGATGCATTTCTAAGTGTGTTTCCTGCCTCACCTACGCTCTTCGTTTCAGACTGGAGCGTGTTCGTGACGCGATGAGAAGACCTAAAGAGGACAAGGAGGACAAAGTCACGATCAAAACCGCCGAGGGCGAGTTTCGATTCGAGGGCATCAACAAAAACTTTACCAAGAAACTCTACGAGTGGGAAGAGAGGCGTGGTAAGAGAAAATAACTATAAATAACCGTTATACGCAGAACAAAATGGAGTGACTGTGATTATTCTACCAAGTAAACGATAGCTCCGTGATAAATATAAGAGCAGCGTTATAAAACGACCGAAAGTTACAACGCATGAGCAAAACAGTCAGCAGGCCGGTTTGTGGTGAGCATGTCAACCACATTATGAATAAATTGATGCACTAATAATTCAAAATCACCGACGATCTTTGACGTTTCGTTGCCAGGAATCCCACCCGATTCGGAGTCATCAACGATTGCTCTTCTGGCTCCCAACTACCGTCCCCATGAGCTGGCTGAACAGGACGCAGGGCGCATGGTCAGGTAAAGTCACAAAATGAATGTGTCCTTAAAAAAAAGAAATATGCGTCCGTCGAAACTTAAAATAGAAGAAATACCGATAAATACCTAGGTAAAAGTAAATAGAAGAGCAGATCACTGAACAACCCAGCCCGTGAAGTGCAATCCAGTCTTGTTAGTTACTTGTTGGCGTGCATTCGCAAGTGTGAAAGAGGCACGTTTTTATATCATAATTCATGTTCTCGATTTTTCTTCTTATTTTTTTTTTTTTGTTCACTCTGCATTTGCTATGCTTTCATGACCACAGGTGTAAGTCGGAGGGGAGTCTCGCCGAGCTGACGTCATCAGCTCTGGGTCAACACAGCCGACAATCATCAGAGGACAAAACGGCTGGAGGACTCGACGGTACCCTTGGAGGTTAGAGAGGGGCTACAGAGGTCAGGGAGGGACTCAGAAGTCACAGGCTGGAACTCTTGAAACTTTGAGTCGGAGGTCAGGGAACTCTCTTCTTTGAAGTCTGAGGTCAGGGAGACACTCTCTGAACACAAAGTGCCGCTTATGAAGATCGGGATTCGATCCTTAGACGGCTATGCTAATATATTGGAGGGTTTGGTGGTGCTTTTGAGGTCAAATTTGCGGATTGTCGTGGCACAATCAGAGGTGTATGAGGCATATGTTAGGTCAGTGCAGTTCTATTGTAATTCAGGGTAGCACGGATAACTAACTGACACTGACGAACTGACGAAGGTCAGGTGTTGTACCCTCTTGGCAGTGCGAGGGGCAGTTCTCAGGGTCAAGGTTAGCGCTCACAGCTAAATCGAGGCACTTGGTGGGCTGTTTAGCCTAACTCCGTTTGACTGTTTAACTTTGTTTACACGTGTTTAACCGTAGGTGATAAGATGTTTATCAGGACAAGGTAACTGGGGAAGTGTGAAAGCATTCAGGTGCTTCAGTTGAGCGCAGACTTGGTACTTACACGCAAGATTACTTCTTACACGTGCCTCTGCGGTATTTCTTTCCTTTCACTGAAAGTTAGGCTGTGCCGCGCGCTCTAGTGCGCTGCGGTGCAGCCTACCTACCTCCCGCTCTTAGCAACGCACGGCGCTACACCGTGTATACCGTGGTTCGTTCAAACTTCAAAGCAGTGTTTTGCATACCGGCGATTTTAGTAAAATTTGAATAGCAGTTGAAGAAATTTGCATCTGTTCTTTTTTTTTTATAAATTGCAGCAGCCTGACAATTCTATCTTAACCCGCGCCCCACTGGGGGGGGGGCTATTTATAGCCCCCCCTCCCGTTTTTCCGCAATAACTTCCAAACCGCTTGACGAATCGACGCCAAACTTTCAGTACCTTCGGCTGCATCAATTTGACACCTTGTGTCAAAATTTGAACTTCGTAGCTACCAAAGGTCGGCCGGAAATGACGTCAGAGTGACGTCATGTTCGTCCGATTTCGACGCAAAACATTGAAGCACGGCAATCGCTCCCAAGAGCTCAGTTTTTAAGCTAGATCCAATTTCTTTGCATGAAAGGACTCAGAATTGACCGCGCTATCAAACTGCTATCTCGGATTTTCAAAATTTTGAAAATTTTGAAAATTTTATATAATAATATTCAAAATTTATATTTTTATATTTTTTTCCAAAAGTTTTTGACTTTTCGAAAAAAACCGGAATATATGTGACAGAACGCATGATAATGACTAACTCTAGCAAGTTTTAGCTAAATATCTTCAAAAATGGCCAAGTTATACGCATTATTGCAAAAAATTCACAATTATTAATTTTTCAAATCAATTTTTCAGTACGTATTTGACATCGTACACCAATATAAATGGCACCATCGTGTTCCTGAGCTCAAACTGCATCCAATAGACACCTTTTTTGTTGAAAAATTTTAACTTCAAAATTTGACCTTTTTTGACCTGAAAGTGACCTGACCTAAGCTAAATTCGACTCAAAATGACCTCAAATGACACAGACGACATCAAATTCGAAATCTATGGCCTAAATGGACCATAAAACATGTGTCACGTGACCGACGCATGATATAATATTTCCGTGACCTGTGATGACCTGACCCTGACCTGAAAATCAAAGTACAAGTTTGGTACCCTCAAGGTATCTAAAGCATCTGTTCACGAGTGTGGAAACCAAAAATGAGCATGATCTGACTTGTAAGACGGCGGCCAGAGCCCAAAATGTGAACAAGCCAAAATGCTGATAATTTTTACTTTGACCTGACCTGTGACGTCATCGGTGACCTTGAGGTCAATGAAATTAGGTTTCGCTCGACAGTTTTTTCCGGGGCTATCAGACGCCGTTTGAATTTTGACGATCGGCCCAGTAGTTTCGGAGTTAGGAGGGGGGGCTATGAATAGCCCCCCCCCCCCCCAGTAGGGCGTGTTATACACAGACCCCAGTGGGGCGCGGGTTAACCCTATTCCTGGCGGGGGGGGGGGCCTCAGGAGCCCCCCCTGAGGTTTTTTGGTTATTTCTCCCAAACGCGTTGAGCTAGGAAGCTCAAATTTTCTGACTTTTCCTAAAAGACTTCTACGCAACATGTCTGAAAATTTTGAGTTGATCTGACCTCAGGTCAGGTCACCAGAGGCGGTTTGGTGACCCTACCTCAGAAAAGTTTGCAATCACGCCAGAGCTAGAGTTTTTGACCGATCAATTTCTTCTCTTCAGGCTTTAGTTAGGGTACCAGTATGTGCAATTTGTATATTTCGGAATTTTGATATCGGTGACCTAAGGTCAGGTCAGTTTCGCGACCTCCCCATTATAAGTCAATGGGGGAAAAATCAACTCCCTGTTTTTACCACTAAAACGGGTCGGAATGGCCCCATATACCATACATGACTTCATATACGATCAACCTTCACTACCTTGAGGTCTGTTTTGCTGTTGGGCAGCTGTGAGGTCATGTGACGTCATCAAAGGTCACCAAAGGTTTTTGGCCAATAACTCCGTACAGGAACAAGATACAGACACGTGGATGGTCTCATTGTGTTCAGCTTGTCAAGACGCATCGAATGATATACATGATGACCTCGAGGTCACGTGACCTGAGGTCAACCTTTGACCTTGACCTTTCGAGGTCAACATATATATATATATATATAAGAAAAAGCTTCAGACGTTTCGATAAGTATTATTATCTTCGTCAGAATAAATGGCCTCATCGTTTCGCCGCACAACACAACACATACGTGGCGCACATATCAACATGAGCGTGATAAACATATTCGTGCACGTCCAATAAAATGTACGCATTAAAACAGAACAGGAAATTCAGACAATATACGTACTACGCGGTCTCCTACCAAACGAAAACGACTCAAATTTACACACGATGACATACACGCCTATTCCATAATCACCAGATCCCTCCGGCCGCGTTGCTGTTCCAAATTTTGTGAAGACATTTTAATTTAAGATTTTGTGGTAGGCTGTGCCGCCTGACGGCTGTGCCCTGCGGGTCAGTCTAACTCGTCGCCAGCCGACACCCGTTCATCCGTAGCGCTTGTTCATTCCCTCCTTTCCGCCTTGCGTTCCCAGCAGATTCATCCACCGCTTCTCTCTTGACCGCCTGTACTCGACATCTTGGCTCCACACTCTTTCTAGCCCGACGACCCACACATCATCTATACTATGTCCCGGGGCAAGAAAGTGGAGCCGAACCGGGAGGGACACAGCAGGATTACTGGCCCTTATCGACGACAGGTGGTTCTGGATGCGAGTGTACAGACAGCCGCCCGTCTCACCCACATAGCACACACATCGACACACATTGCACCATATCCCATATATCACATTTACACTCCTACACCCAATCGTTCGGTCATAAGTGGTGACACACCCATGTCTCGGTCCCTGCACTAACTCCCCATTCGCATATGTCCGCTTACAAATGACACAACTCTTACCACAGTTTTGGACTTTGCGCTCGCCTTCGCCAGATATCACCCGCCTAGTCTTACCATGCACCAGTATGTCTTCTAGATTTTTGCCTCGTTTGTACGCTACCATTGGGTCAGAGGGAAAAATGCTAGCCATCCTCTCAGAGCGGTGCAGGAGATGCCGCTTGCTTTTAAGAATGGCTGTCATGTTGGGAAGGTAGCGGGAGTAAGTGAGGGCTAGTGGTACTCTCTGTTGTACATCTCTGTTCTTTCTACTGGTTAGAATTGTGTCCCTTTTGACCTTATCGACCTTACTAAGCTCCTTTTCGACTAGAGAACCCGGGTAGCCTCTCTCCAGAAGTCTCCCCTTTAGATTACCCCTGTGCTTCCTGTAATCATCCTCCCTGGTACAGATCCTCTTCATGCGAAGACCCAAGCCGTAGGGTATTTCCTTTTTCATGTGGGAGGGGTGATCCGAGCTAAAGTGCAGGTAGGATTTGGAATCAGTGGGTTTCTCAAACATGTCTGTTTCAATGTAGCCATCTGTGCCTAACTTAACCATCACGTCTAGGAATTCTATCTCGGATCGCGAGACACGCAGGTCAACATCAATTTTGGGGTGGATGTTGTTGGCGCGGCGGTGGAACTCATACAACTCCTCCTCACCGTGTAACCATACTCCAAATATATCATCTATGAAGCGGAAGTACACAGAGGGTTTAAACGTCGCATCCCTTAGTAATGTCTCCTCCCATACGCCCATATAGGTGCACGCATAGTTTTTACCCAATCTGGAGCCTATGGCCGTGCCGTCAGTCTGGACGAAATGTTTGTCCGAGGAGAGGTTAAAGTTGTTGTTGTCCAGCACCAGTTCGATCATTTCAATCACCTTTTCACTCGGTATGGCGGGGTCACACCTGTCCCGCAACGCGCGCCTGCAGGCCTCGATCCCCTCACCTCTGGGAACACTGGGGTATAGTTTTTTCACGTCCATGCAGAAGAGGAGAGGGATGTGACCGTACTGATCAGTCACCGGCTGCGGCACCTTCTGTAGCTTGTTGATAAAATCGCTGGTGTCCTTGATGAACGACGGTTGGTTCTCCACGTGCGTGCGCAGTTGCTCCTCTGCCGCCTCCGCGACCCGCTCGGTGGCGTGGCCTACCCCGCTGACGATAACCCTCAGCGGGGCGCCGGGCTTATGCAGTTTGGGATTCCCCTGGAGTCGGCCGGGTCGCGGGTTCGGTGGGGCCAAGTAGGCCTTCTGGTGCCGTCCGATGTAGCCCTGCTGATAGAGCTCCGATGCCAGCTTCATGACCTTCTTGTTGATGGCGGTCGTGTTGTCTTCATTGACGGGCCTGTACGTGCTAGCGTCAGCCATCTCGCGATTGAGCTTATCGATATAATCAGCAGTGTTCATGATGGTGACGCTCGAGCCCTTATCCGCTGGCCGGATAACGATGTCGTCGTCCTTGATCAGGCCGGAGAGGGCTTCCTCTTCGTCAGCTGATAGGTTCCCGATGCCACGTGATCTTGTCTCCCTTAATACGCTGGTCGTCACTTCTTCCAAGTATAAGTCCAGCCATGGATCCCTGCCCTTTGGCGGGACCCACTTCGCCTTTTTGTACGCCGCGTCCTCCGTGTCGTTTGCTTCCCTCGGCTGGTTGTCATTGCTGTTGTGCCAGAACTCACGCAGTCGCATCAGCCGTTCCCATTCCTTGAGTTCGGCAGTCAGCTGAGCGACCGTCTGCTTCCGTGAGGGCACGAATGACAGGCCGCGCGTCAGTAGGGCCAGCTCCGTCGGCGTCAGTTGTCTGGAGGAGAGGTTGACGACTCCCACGGGTTCAGGCGGTCTAGGTGTCTGCCCTGGCCCATCCCCTGCCGTCCGGGACCGCTGGTTTGGACGCAGCCTGTCCAGCTTCCGTTTCTTCGTCCTGGTGGTGAAGTCCTTGGTCCGCTGGACGTCCTTCTGCACTATGACCGCACTATGGGCCTGCTCATCTCTTGTTGCGTTGGCACCCACCTGCTCAGACAGAGTCTGGTACTCGCCTTCGAGATGGGTGACCCTGGCTGCAGCCACTTCCGCGCTGATCCTCACCAGTTCTTGTGACGCCTTCTCCAATGTTCTTTCCACCTCCTCGTTCTGGTCGTCAAAGTGGCATTTCCAGGTCAAACGGAAGCCACGAGGTATTAACCCGTCAGCCGTACAGGTCTCCAAAAAGTCTCTGTGTGACTTGTATTTTTCAAGTTTCACTGCCAGGCGGCGTAGCCGGCTGAAGGAGTTAACCGTCCCAGCAGGAGCCGCGTCATACCGGGGTCGCATGGCATCTTGCTCGGTCGCGGTGATATCACACGTTCCAACTCCCTTGGCGTCCCGTTGGCCCGTTTCGGATACTGGCGCAGCTGCTGGGGGCGCGGTCTGGTTTGGTTCCTGGCCGGGTGTAGCATGATCCAGCTGGATCCCATCTGCTGGCGGCATCAGCGGGGACGGTAGGTCGCCAGAACTCCTCATGTCGATGGTGGTTACACTGGTGTCCACAAAGATGATGCTGAGGGCTGGACCGAATAACTTGCCTCTGCTGACGTGGCTGTGGAAGCCCCGGAACGGACAGTCCGCCACGATTTTCATTCCGTCTCCAGTCAGACGGAGCCACTTATTGGCCCCGTACGAGGGGGCACAGACTACTGCCACTGCTTCTGGCAGGAGTTGCTGGTAGCTGAACTGAGTGTGTAGGTCGACACTACTCAGAAACGCGGTCTGGCTGGGATGGATGGATATATATATGTATATATATATATACATATATATATGTATATATATATATACATATATATATATATAATGCAGACCTGCTGATTCTCATATATATATATATATATATATATATATATATATATATATATATATATATATATATATATATATATATATATATATATATATATATATATATATATATATATATATATATATATATATATATATATATATATATATATATATATATATATATATATATATATATATATCATTCGATGCGGATTGACGAGAGGATCACGATGATGCCCTTAGTTTGTTCCTATCTTGACTAATTCGAAAGTTATTCGAGAAAAACTCTCTCCATATCTAGCGCCGCCATTTTGACTTTTTCGACCCCTGTGACGTCATCTTTGACCTGACCTGAAAATGACCTTAGTAAAAATTGTAGATCTTGACCGTGCGTATCCGATGCCGTTTACCGTTTGTCGCTGCGATGTGTAGTTTTTGAGATCTGAAGGGGGGCCGAATCGCCCCCCCCCCGCCAGTTTCTTGTCCCGGCGGAGCCCGCCAGGAATAGGGTTAAAGCAAATGATTACGAGGCGATCTCGTAATACCTTCGTTGTTAGGTCTTGGTAGCGATGTCAGGATTATGCAGGTGCGGGATAATAGGATATGTTTTTTTTTGTCTTGTCTTCTTGTGAATTTTCCTCTTTGTTTTGACCATCCTAGTTACTGACATTGGTCCACTTAGCATAAATTTGTTTTAATTTGGTTAAGTTAAAAGGTCTTATGATTCTAATTGCTGAAAATCTTGGCCTTACTTACACAAAGCTCACCCAATCCATGATTTGTTTTCTGTCAGATTCTACGAAGGCGTGTTCGGAGCCGGACCTGCGTTCGGACGCGGCGGACCGGCCGCCAACTGACCGCTCAGCTGACTGCGGCGCATGCGCAGTGCTGGTGGACGTGGAGGAGGTGGTAGCTGCTCCTCTGGAGGACATTCCACCGGTGCAGGCCCAGGAACCCGTCTACAGCTACGCCCCCGACGAAGTGACGAGACTGATTGACTCCAGCGGCAGGTGGGTGAATTTTGGCACACATGATCAGGAAGTGAGAAAATTCGAAAAAGCGCTAAGAAAATATAATTGGACTATGTTTTTGCCAGTGATTTGAATTTATGTCTTTTTAAACCTAATTGCGCCAGTTCGCACCGACCGTGTTTCACAAAGCTATGGAATGGAATGAACTTTACCTCTGATCATAAGAAAATTGCTATCATTTCATCTTCCCATTCTTGAATAGGTATAATCTTCGCAACACTTTTTCGTGAATAGGACTGCCTCCATCACCAGTTATTTTCAGTAGATAAGAGCACATGACTAAGCTGTTTCCTAAAAAACATACTTCCACAGTGACAGTGAGCTTCCTGGCCGGTACCGGCCCCGAGAGGACCTTCTGGTGACATACGAGGTGCCTGAGATAGCCGCGGGGCACGACCCGCAGCAGGCCGGGGGCTCCTACTCGGGCCTGTTGGATGTCAACATCTCCATCCTGGACAAGCTGAAGCAGAAGGAGGACGTTTGCCGGTGAGGCTGATTAATTGTTGGTTAATCTTTTGGTTTCGGTAGTATTATGCTGTTCGATTTTATGGGAAAATCGTCTAAAAGACACAGGGCGTGAATCGTTGCTTTAGTAATTTTGACAGTAGTAATTTTGCGGTATATTTGAACAATAAATGTAGTTTTGTCGCCTGTCGGGCCACTCTTCAGTGCACACTTTTAAGCTGGCGAACTGTGTTCCAGCTGCCTGGAGGAGAAGCTGGAAGAAATTGGCCAGAACATGATTCAGATTCAGGAGGAACACCGCCAGGAACTAGGTAACAAACATAAATATTACATCTGTTTTAATGGCCTACATCGAGGGTCAATCTTCGTTTATGGGCGTAATGACTCCTTTTTGTTGTTTTGCCGTTGTCGTGTCATTTTTCTTTAAAATATTATTTATAACTATCGCTGAAAGGTCGGATACGATTACCTAGTGAGGCGAGGCCTGTCGAGTGATACAGCGACGTTAAGAAAAAAACTCAACAGTTACGATTGTTTAATGTCTTATCAATGTCTGCCGTTTTACATATTTTAAATCCTTTTCAGAGAAACTTCGGAACGAGAAAACAAAGAAGACTCAGACCAAAGAAGGTGCGTTTACACCATTTATCAGTGCTAACAGTGGTAAAGTACGTCACTGCTTCAATTGCATTATGATCTGCATCGAGGAACTCGATTATCCCTTCCAATAACAATGTAAAACGATGCATGTTTATCAACTCTTGTACGCGTTTCGAATTGGTTGTTTGCTGATCCCAGACATGCACGCTACGGTAACAGATAAATGCTGTTTATGTGATGTAAGGACCCCGCTACATTTCCCACGCATCGAGTCATCTGAAGCGGACGGAAAAATTCAATCAAACGCGAATCCCATTCACTCTGTTGAGAGATGAGAGCGCTAAAAAATCGCAAATCGGACGTTTTTGCAACTCACAATTGACCACGGACGGCTGTTGCGCTTTCTTTCGTCTCATTGGTGCAAGCTTACTAAATATTTGTTTGTTTGCTTGCTTCAATGTTTCCTGCAGGTGACGGACTGAAGGCGGAGGAAGAACTAGTAGAAAACAACCTCCAGATGCTGGAGAATCTACAGCAGCGGTGTAATGAGCTCCAGGGCACCGGGGCTCGACTTCAGGAGGAGCGGGAACAGATTCAGGTAAACGAAAAGCTCCGTGTTGTTGGGTGATGACTGTCCGGTCTGTTTAGATTATTTCACGGATACGGAATGGATAATGGGTTAAGAGTAATGGACATACATTATTCTAGTGGGACCAATCGTAGGTGTGTGACAATGGTAGAATGCATCCCGTTGGAACAGGCTTGTCCCGGTAGGACAGAGTCAAAGCGCTTCAGAATGTTGCCTTTGGAATGTTTTAGGGAAGTGTATTTGTAAAAGTTCAGCTAAGAGCGTCGTACAGTCTTTCAGCATTTGTTGAGTATAATAATTGGAGATAAGTGTACTTATTGGCGGCGTTCTTTCAGGCTTCGCTTCAGCACCACAGCGACCAGCAGGCGGACCTGGCCCGACATCTGGTGGGCAATATGAGGAAACTACACGCCGCTGGATCCTCCATAGACGTCGCTAGCGAACAGGCGCACGACACCAAAGGTAAGAGCTGATACTCTTGGTCATATCCAATAATCAGACTAGTGATTACGGTATCTTATATAGTATCTAGACAAGTCTATGGTATAATTGATCGGTGAATGAGCGCTATGCTAGTTCTTCGAACACGAAAATGCATTTCGCTAGCCTCGAAGTGTGTTAATTTGCCCAACTCACCCACGAAGACATAGATCCCGAAACCATGTGACCTCAAGGTGCGATAATTGGGTGTTTATGCCAGGAACGCGTTTGACTTATCCATCATTATTTGCAGATGCTCCAGAAGAAGCCTCTGCCACCACAGAAGCGCTTCAGGTGGACGCAGCGGAGGGGCTTCTCCTGCCTTCTCCTGGTGCTCGCAGAAAACAGATCGATAAGAAAACGGTGGACAAGCTACAAGCTATCAGCACCGATCTCCTATCGCAGGTGGGGACTTTTATGCATTTATTTTTGAAGAATTATCATGGCTGTAGAAAAAGACAGATTTACACTGTCGTTGTGCGGTTTCTACTTTCTTATAGCCAAGTGGTTGCATTTTTATGAAAGGTCCATCGAATTGTAGCATTTGACTGAAAGAGCCCACGCATCTTTACATGCTATTTACTATCCCTCATTGATTGTGCTGTCCACTTCCAGGCCAAGCGACTTGAGAAGGCTCTCGGGCCACGACAGGGCAAACGACCAACGCGGTCCTATTCTCAAGGTCACCACAGCAGAAGTTGGTCACGGAACACGGAGACGCCTCCTGATTGGCTGAGAGGTGACGACAAGCCGGCCTGGCAGGCCGCTGATTGGTCGACACTGCCCAGTCAGCTGAGCAAGAAAGTGGAGGAGCTGCAGAGGGAGATGCTGCTTCTCTGCACCGCTCGAGGTACAGGCTAATTTAAATTTTACCAATCAGATATGAAACCTCTGACGATACAAATAAAAACCTGCAATGGAAGTTCGTAGCGATGATAAATAACGAAAAAATCGTTGCAAGAGCCATGATGGTGACAACAACGTTCTTTCAAAGCTTGCTGATTTTTGTCACGACTCACGATCAAGGCTACGTGTACCAATTACGAACCACACCAACTTTCACTCGGCGACATCTTTTTAGAGGCGTGCCTCATAATCAGATAGATGACTTGTTTTTCTTGTTTTCCAGCGTCCCCTCACAGTCCTCCGCTGAGTATGAGTCCTCCAATGGAGGAGCTGGGTGAAGGGGACGACTTCAATCCAGAGGAACCCATCAGTTTCACCTTCCATCTGCCGTCTCAGCAGAAAAACCGGCAGGTGAGAATGGTCTAACACAGCGGTTCCCGATTCGTACGGTATCGGTTTACCGCAACGATTTAAATGCAATCGATCTAACGTCCAGACCGGTTTGTTTTTGTAATCACTAAGCTAAGCTGGCGGCTAAGTAAAGCTGGCGGGTAGTCATTTTGTGACCGGATCGTTGAACGTAATGCCAAAACCATACAAATTGCCGTTTTGCCAGAAAAGATGCGGCAACCTCTTCCGTGATCCTTACTCCACTGCTGTAAGAGCTACTACTTTATGCGACAACTTCATCGTGAAGCAGCTCAGACTTAATCGTTTTTATAAATACGCGTTGAGTTTGAAAATTACACGAGCGCGGCTAAGTTTTAGAAGACGGAAGATGGCAGTGATCAGCTGATTCACGAGTATGACTCACGACTCACGATTGTGTGTACATTTCACGATCTCGGGCCAGTTTCAGGAGACAGACGAAGACCGTGACCAGCTGAGTCACGAGTGCGGAGTCAGCGAGCCCACATCTACTGCTGATGATCTCTGCCCCACCAGTCCCGGTCAGTACTGACTACTGAGCATACCTACTGGTTAGACGGATCGCAGGACCGCTAGTGGACCTGAACAGTTTCATTGGCGTTTTGAAGGGACATGTAAACAAATCCTGCGTTGTTTTCTTTTTGTAACCATTTTATGTTATTGGTAACGTCGTTGTATTCGATGCAAATTTCTTTTGAACAGTTATTACTGAATTTGTCATTTGTGAACAAGCGCTGACCAATTTCAGCAAACAGTAGTCTCCTAAATGTTGTCGTGTCGCCCTCGCCCTCGAGGCCTTCAAACCTGCGTATAATTAGGAAGTTAGTAGCTTCTCAATACGTGATCAAGTACGTCAATGCTTATATCTAGCGGAATATTTTTTTTTCAGACGAGGAGATGCTGGCGTCGCAATGTTCTTCCTCGCGATCTTCTGTTGAAGATCTCGGAGCTGTGGCTAAATGGAGGAACAAACGCGATCTCTACACGTCCTACGATCAAACGCTCAAGGTTTGTAAAATGTCTGAGCATATGTTAAAGCACGATATATGCTCAAAATTATTCAGATGGGCAGCGTTCCGGCATTATAATCCATATATCGTATATGTAGCGCTCAATACCGGCGATAAGATGCTTTGCGGTACAGTCTACCTACAGGCGTTTACTCCTATCGCCATCTATCAGCAGTAATCAAAACTGTGTCAGTGGTAACCGTCAGTCGTGTCGTTAAAAGGCACATTGACCGTAGCCTCTGCACAACGACACCTTCGTATGATTAGAACCATACCATCATCAAGAATCATAATCTCTGTTCCGCGCTGACAGCTATCCAACCCACCAGACAATCGGTGGCAGCCAGCCAGCTGTTTGTCCCTCTACCCTCTTGGGTAACCGAGGCCCAACCCAGTAGGGAAAGCAACCATGCAAGCGATCAAATTCACCATTATTTGCGCACAATGTGGTTTATTGATCTCATGACGTCATTATCTGTCCTGCAGGAGATGCAGCGTGAACTGGAGTCTGTGGAGGCGCAGTACGCCCTGGACCGGCGGCGAAAGAGTTCCGATGACGTCATTTCCACACCGTCCTCGTACCGGAGTCGGTCCTCGAGTATACCCTCCTCCGAGGACGTCGATGAGCCCAAACTGTTTCAGGTGAGGAAGTTGTTGTCTTTACTAGATGTAGGTACTTATTATGCTAAAAGAAATAAAGGTATATTTTTAGCATTGAAAATATGACGACCTTCATTTTCATCGATTGTGATCTGTGATCGGAATGTAGGCTATTTCGCTACTACGCTGTCTTGCTTGTATTTTGGCTGTTTTGTAGGGTTTTGTAATGATAATCTTATTTTGCTTTGGCTCAATTATGCCCACTCAGCCCCGAATGAAATGTAGTTCTGTGGGCTTTAGGTTTAACCCTCGCCCCGTTGGGGGGGGGGCCATTTTGGCCCCCCCCCTGTGGTTTTTCCTGAATAGCAAGAAAACGGCGGCGCGCAGCGCCGCCAAATTTTCAGTACCTTCCCGGGCATCAATTTGACACCTTCACACCAAATTTCAAGTCTTAGGTCACCTTAGGTCAGGAGTTATTGAGGTCAAACTGAGGTCATGTTCGAGCAAAAATGAGCAAAAAACATGCAATCTTGAAACGCTCACCAAATCTACAGTTATCAAGCAATTTCAAAGTTCTTTATATGGTCTAGTAGACAAAAGTCGGCGCTACAAAACTGCTATCTCGGATTTTCAAAATTTTTGGTTTTTGACCCAAAAAAATCAAAAAATTGATTTTTTTAGAAAAACTTTGAAAAAATCCAAAAATTTTCCGAATTTCGAAAAAAACCGGAATATATGTGATAGTCCCAGCGCTCTTCTATATACATACCAAATTTCAGATCGATATCTCGTTTTTTGGCCAAGTTATAGCGAAAAAACTGTTCAAAAATGATGACGTCAAATTTTTGAACTCAATTTTTAGCAATTCTAGACCTCGTACGGCAAAACAAAGACCACCATTGAACTCCCCGTGACGAGCTGCATCGATTCGATACCCATTTTATGCAAAAATATTAACTTTGAAATTTGACCTAATTTGACCTGACCTTGACCTGACCTTGACCTGACCCTGACCAAAACGTGATCTAAGCTGGCCCCAAAGGCTGCCTGACCCATATAATCGCATTTGTCATGTAAAATGGACCATAAAACGTGTATCACACGACACTTTCATATTGTGACCCCCCCGTGACCTGACCTCTGTGACCTGACCTGGTATCAGTGACCTCAAATTGCAAAATATGTGTTTGAAGAACATTTCCCCATCGATGATTTTCAATGAAATGCATTTTACTCGATTTTACAACGCATTTCTTGAAGTGCCTGTAAACGGTGAAAATTGGACCTTTGACCTGACCTGTGACGTCATCGGTTTGACCTAGGTCAATAAAATTGGGTCACAAGGTAGTTCCCCGTTGGGGCTATCCAACGCCGTTTACCGCTTGTCGCTATGTTGCGTGGTTCTCGAGATCTTAGGGGGGGGCCAAAATGGCCCCCCCCCCCAACCGGGCGCGTTGCTCGGCAGAGCCCAACGGGGCGCGGGTTAAAGTTAGAAAATGATTCGAACTTCTACAGTCCACAGAATTTTGCGACACTTTACTGAACTGATGTTCAATGTCCCCAGATGGCTGAGCACCCCGAACACTTCATCGAGGAGGAAGAGGACGACGGTAACGCCACCGACTCTCGATCCGAGCACGGGGCTGAGTGGGACTCCACAGACTCCCAGGGTCCGCGGGTCTCCCAGGCGCTGTCTTCTGCTTCGGAGGACCGTCTGTTCACCGCCGGCGCCACAAGAACTTTTGAAATTCCCACTGTGGATACGAGGTATCTCTCTAGCCTGCCGCCCGCCACCTCAGCTCCTGTGATTGTTTCTGCGCAGAGAACTGTGTATTCTGTGGATCACGGGAAACTTCAGGTTCATGTTCGGGATCAGGTGGATACACCATCGACTTCAACACCACGTGGCGTCAATGTAACGTCACGTGAGTCTGCAAACGAACCATCACGGTCTCCAACACAACGCGAAGGCGTCAATTTGTCATCACGTGAGTCAGAAAATGCACCACCGCAGTTGACAGTACAACGAGAAGGTGCTCATGTGACTTCTCGAGAAGGGATGAGTCTCTCACTTCACCCAGTAGATGAGGTAGCTGATCGTCTGTCCAGCACAACTCCTACTCCTACCGCAAGTCCACTTCCCCTGAGGCTGGAGGTGACGTCGAATGAACGACCACCATTGCAGGCTAGTCTTTCGGTGACATCACAAGAGTCAACACCTAGCGTGGAAGGCAGTGAAGAGGACGTCGCGAAGGGAGGTGCTGAGGTTCCACTGGTGCTTGAACCAGTCGCGGCTGCTGTTGCAGCTCGTGCTACTGGTGATGCTGGTGATGGTGGCGAAAGGAAAGCTGGTGCAGCTGGTGACGAAGCTGCGACTCATAATGACAGCGAAGCAAAGACGGGTCCTAGCAAGATTCTGAGTGATCGTGATGAAGCGAGTACGCATAATGTCACCACTATCCAGAAGGTTGACAATGGGAGTGGTTATGTGGAAAGCCAGATCCCTGGAAGGGTGAACATGGCATCACAAGGAGGCACCATTAGACCAGAACCTGATCAAGTCGAGCAAGAGGCAAAAACAACCGAAGAGGCAGAATGTGACAAAGTCAAGGTTCATGTCCAGTCTTCGCATGACGTTGATGTAGCACAAAGTGAAGCGAATCGTATGCTGAAGACTGAGCCTGAAATATATCGCTCAGAGTCTGTAAAAGGCCCAAACACGCCTCAAGACATATCACCTTCAGAGAGTGTCGCCACTCAACTAAAAAGCGAAGACCCTTTGAAGAAGGACGACAGTAAAGCTTTGCATCCTGTCATCAAATCTACCACCGAGCTTCATGTTCCCGACGTCGAAGCCAAAACAACAACAGCGACCGAAGAACATCATCATCATTACACCCCGCAACCTTCCGAGCAATCAAAACGCAGCGTTCTGACTCTTGCAGGATCCTCACAGAACATCCGGGGAATGATTGAGAAGTTCAACAACATCTCAGACTCTCCGGAAACCTCAACACCAGTCCTACCACGAAGGGACATCCATCGTCCTCACGCGGACACAAGCAACGTTGCTTTGCAGTTGCAGAAGAGCCTGTCAGACGGTCTTGTCATGCTGTCTTCAAGAGATGATAATGACGAGGACGAAGCACACCACGATTCAAATCTCATAGCGCAGGCGCGCTCGGCGAGCGGAGGTGCCGTGTTGCAACCGGAACCTCCTAGCGGAAGTCCTGGTGGTTTGAGTCCTTCACTCGCCGTCAGAGGCGCGGAACCGCGTGGCCTTGCGGGACGTCCCCCGCGATGGAGTCCTCTGCCGCCGATTTCTAGTCAAGTGCCGCATTTGACTAGCTCTCCGGTGTCTCTGAGAACTAGGGTGAGCTCCGGAGGTCACCCAGTCACGCCATCCACCCCTTCTTCAGCGCCAATCTCTCCAGGAGCCACGTCGCCGTTCCCACCATTCTCACACTGCGTGACGTCATCTGTGACGTCGCTGAGTGTGACCACGCCCACCGGTGTCGACTCCTCTCTCGACTCTTCATTCGACTCGGCGTTCGAGGCCGCTCGGTTTGGTTCCGAGGGACGAAGTCCCACTCCAACCGCTCGAGCCGAGAGACTCCGTCGAGCCAGAGATCAGTTCTTTGGCGCCACCTGGTCATCGCGCCCTTCAGCTTCTGGAGGTGAAGCAGACGCCGACTCTGCTGGAGGTCCTTTTCCTTTCGGTGCTGAAAGCCCTCAGCGACCTCCTCGACGAAGAACAGGAAGCAGAGCTGCAGGTCTGGCTCACAGTAAGAGCACAGGAACAATTAACGAGGCCTCCGTCCGCCACAGCGACATTAGCTGTGGGAGTGACTTCAGTGATGTTAGCGTTGAAGAGGCAAGACTGGACGCACCTCCATCAGCTCGAGTGGAAGCACCTTCTGGCTCAGCTGCATCGATACCACCGATCTCACCAGCCCCGGTAGCACCTCCTTCAACATCAAAGTCAGCAGGATCACGAGTCGCACATTTCCTGCGGCTGAGGCACGCAAAGAAGAGGAAGGGTTCAGCGATTGGGGCGTTAATCAGACAGAGTATGGCAGTGAATGCGGGACAGGTGATGCCGGGGGCGGAGGAGGGTGGGGCGGCCGCGGCGGTGGTGCCAGCGGCGGTAGGGTCACAAGCGGAGACGGGGGCGGTTGGCCATGAAGCCGAGGTCGCCGGAGCAGCCGCAGCTGCACCACCAGCGCCGGTCAGAAGTTGTCCCTCCACTCCGGTAACGGAGAGAGCCTCTCGGTCAGAGGCGCGCCAGAGGCCTGGGTGGAGGGCCAGGAAGCTGTTCAGGTCACCCACACCGCCCGGGGGTAGATAGGACTGTGTTTAAAAACAGATAACGAAGACATCTTCAACGCGCTCAGGCTCTTGTGCTTGCTATCCGACGGATAAATTCAATACCGTCTACGAAAGACTGTATTTCGCTGGTCACTGCAATCACTTGGTTCTTTTTTTCTTCGTGACAAATGGATGAAAGTGATTTGGTTGAGCGTTTATTCCCATAAGCAACAGCCCAAAAGCCAACTTAGCAGTCAGCAGTATTCTTTCTGAACTGGAGCGTTACCAATACGTTCGAGAACAAGAAAGCTACTTTAAAACGCTAAATTTGAGAGAAGAGCAAGGAAGGTATCTACACAACATCTGGTTTGAAGAAAAGAACTCAAATGGTGTCAAATCCATTATTTGGTTGACCTACTATTGGACTCGAATGCGCTGCATTGTCACAGCTATACTGCAGTAAAAACAGTGTCATGTGACATGCCCGATAAGTTGATGCTCAGTGCCTAGTCAGTACATAGTCGGTGCCTAGTCAGTGCCTAGTCGATGCCTGGTCGTTGCCTAGGGGTACGACCATTAGTGAATAAGTGCCTTATAGTTTTGTCTACGCGCTCGATATTACTATGCAATAAATATTACCGTTGGTTTTAGTGTGCTATACGCAACGCCACGTTTTTTTTTTTTTAACTTAGCGCCCGCTCATGCTAAAGCTCTTCTACATCAATATCTTTCACAATTTGTGCAAAATTTGTTCGGCTTTCTCGGTTACTTTCAAATCACTCTCAAACTTCTGTTCAATAATAATAACAGTTTTCCAGTCCTCCGACGCGTACAAATCACACGACAACATCACTTCTGATCTGTTCTTTTCTGAATTGAAACAGCGACTCGGGTGCCCCATGACGTATATTACACGATGAGGGCACGTTACATGTGACTAAATACACGCCAGTGAGCACTCAAACATCGTCCGTGTAACAACTGTGTGCAAACACTTCGACATTCATACACAACTTACAAACATTCGCAGTTCGCACGCACGAATCTAGCCGTCTAACATGGTAGTCTATCGTGTTATAAAAGTGGATGTCGAGTTGCTTTTTTGTGTGTGTCATGGGTCCATTTTAGCAATTGTAACTAGTTGTTCATAGGGTTATAAAAACGCTGTGTGAAACCAAACTTTGTTCATCTGCCAATCTATTGGGCTCCTAGGTCCTTCACTGGAAATGGCAGTGTACGGAGATTCGAATGCCAAGGAAAATCAAGAAGTTGTGTTCGCTCATTTCACTAAATCTAATTGTAACAATCACTATCAATTTACTCACATGCGACCTCTCAACCCATATCAGACAGGTTTATAGAACACTCGAATACAAAGTACTCGAATACAACACACTTCGCATATCAGTCAAGTACCTTATAAACACCACTTAGCACTTATACGTCATTCATACTCGAGTGAATTGTGCTACTGCGAATATCATCGGTGTGATGTGTTCACCAGTCTATGTGTAATTGCCCTATAATGCCCTTGTACCATCTATGTGGTACATCCCTGGCGAGGCACGGTAACAACGTGCAACATTCGCCGATAAATTAAGGAGTTCAACAACTAGGGGTCACGGTAAGTGGCAGGAAGCGAGCACAAGAAAGGCTAGAGTCTGAGGCATGGACTGTCAATGGACAACCAACTATAAACGACTTTGACAACCAAAAACAACGGACTTCGAGTTTCGGCTGCTCCTTCCAGCCACCGAAGATATGATGCCCCCAACATGGTAGAATACCGATTATCGGAATTATCATGTTTTGACATTGAGAATAACGTATTCAAATCACAGAACATGTTTGCAACAAGCAATACTGAGGCCTTATAGTTAAATGCATCAAATCCTAGTCATGCAGCATGAAAAATCAATGACAAATCCCATGTGTCACTCATTTAAACATGATAGTGAAAGCTGAATGCGCCAAATGACCCCTAAATCACATGCATTTAAGGAAAACACGGAATTTTTGAGTAATAAGAGCTAAGGAGGCCCAGAAGCAGATTCAACTGTCACCATATGTTACAGTTTCTTTAGATCCTTACTTTCATATTCGTTCTGGTCACAGATCAGAATAAACGGTAATTGAGTCAACTTTTGTGATGCTAAGTCACCTTTCGATGTTATTTTCGACACCATATTAGTATGCACGTGACCATTAACCTCTTCCTAACGCGGCACCCATCTTAATAAGACAGAGCTATTTAAGCGCTCATTGACATTTACCTGATGGTGATGTATGGTTAACTATTGAGTATATCGTTCTTCGACGCAGTCACCAATATTGTTCGTAAAGACACCATTCAAAACTTCATCAGTATGTCACACAAACGTACTCGCATTTCATAGATATGACAACGCTCATCACACTCACTGTTTCTATTGTCAACGCACCACCGTTTTTATCAAGCCACGCCCAGCGTGTCCTCGCCCACCAATCAGCGTCCTCCCCAAAACGTGGCAGCCAATCACAGGCATTTGTGGAGCTGTCCTCGTCAAACCACCGAGCGTCATCACTCGTCCACCAATCACTGCTCGTTCTCGAACTGTTTGAATCCCGCCTTTTTGGCCACCAATCCCAGCCCGTTGCGGAGGGCGACAAATCGCGCCGGCGACGCTGATTGGCTGCCGCCGTTCGACTGTGGCGGCGTCTGGCGGTGACTGTTGACACTAAGAGTTACCGGGTCGCCGTTAGAGTGGAAGCCGTGTGTTCCGTTCAGGCCGCCCGAGAATGACGATTCCGATGTGTTCTGTAAAAGAAAAGTGGAAGTGGGTTAGAATGAGAAGAAAACTGGATTCGATGTACCTACACAAATTTACAGTTACCTGAAAAAAATGTATGCATTTCAATTTACAACGGATTGAACGAAGTGCTCCGTCTTGAAGGTTCTTCAGGTTCATCTCCCGTATGAAGCTGGGACCCTGAAATCTCTAGCTGTGATTCCTAACTGGACTCTGGAGGTTCTCCAGGTTCATTTCCCGGGGGTAGCTGGGGTTCTCGAAGCCGCGACTCTAGCTAGGGTTCTTAATACCTCACCTGAAGGTTCTCCAGGTTCATTTCCCGGAGGTAGCTGGGGTTTTCGAAGCTGACGCGGTCGGCGGCTCCGGCCTTCCTCCTCTTTCTACGATAGAGTACGGCTCCGACCATCATCACGGCCAGCACCAGGACGAGGATTATCACCACCGCCAGCACGGTGCCAGTGCCGATGTAGTAGTCTGTAGGGGAAAAATCGGCGGGTTATGCACCACGGCGTGGGGGGTAAATAGATGGGGTGGTGAAAGGTGAATGGGAAAAGTCAGACAATCAAATACGAATGAATCGATTTGTGATAGTAATTTATTTACTGGAGGATGGATGAGCCTTTAACTTGAACTAGGCTATTTAACCAATAAATGCTTTATAGAATGATTTTGGAGCAGAAAAAGTGAAGCACCACTAAGTGGAATAAAATGTCCTGTATGTTCTATGCTAATGCGCAATTACATACCTATAAGTCAAGAAGTATTGGATTTGTACATCCAGTGATTTAGTACCATATACTGTAATCGGCCAGTACAGTCAGTCTTGAAAGTACTGGGCATCAGTGCGGTGGATCCATCAAGCCCTCCTCAGTTGGGCTTATTGGATCCACCGCAATGATGCAAGGTACTTTCAAGACTGATTGCACGTAAGGCAGAAATTATCTTCCTCGCACGATTAAGCCTCCCGCTATAGGGTATTAAAAACATACATAGGGGTAAAAATCTGCCATAGGTACACATGCATCCCCTACTCACTTTCATCGGTGCTCTCCGAGGACACAAATATCCTGCCGGGGACAAACATGATCGGCGTGGTGAGTTGACTCGATCCGTAGTGGTTTCCCGACTTCACCGCGCACTCGTACTCCACACCGGCTCGCAGGCCGCTGATTCGCAGCGATGTCGAGCGCGTGTCGTTGCGCGACGAGATCTTGTCATCCGGGGCGCGCCAGTATACCCTACGGTAGGGCAAACGGGGGAGGTGTAGGGTAAACGGTAGGGAAAACGAGGCCGGAGGTGTAGCCTGTAGGGTAGAGCGACAGGGCAGCTTCTATTACTTTTAACAACGGTTCCATTTTATCGTTCCTCAAAAGCAGCCACAATTTGACAGGTTCATAGTTTAGATCAGCCCTGAGGCATAAAAATCACAGCGAAAAAGCGTTCTTAAAATAGCCCACCAAAAAAAGCGCAGATCGTTGTTGTCATTTAGGCCTACGCATCATCGAAATCTGTGAAAACTATGGGTCTCTTCCAGTCGCACTTCCTAACACCTCTAAACTCCTCCAAGATTGCTTCCCTGTTCCAATGGCAGCTCTAGCCCCTACAAAGCCAAGGAGGGCCCTGCTCCAACCTCCTCTATCTTCCTCTTGGAGGAGTTTAGAGGTGTTAGGAAGTGCGACTGGAACAGACCCTATGAAACACATATCAGGCAAACTCCCATTCTTGGTTCATATCCTGCCCAGCCTCACCTGTAGACCTCGACTTTGTCTGCGTTCTTGTCGGGCTCGTCCCAGCGGACACGGACGGCGTTACTGCTGACCGATTCCACACGGACATTGAGAGGAGGGCCCGGCAGCACGGCTGAAACACACGTCACGAGACGTTATTATGACGTCATTGGAGTAAAGAATGGCGGCACGTGAAGGCGGAGACTATCAGCTCTTTTCCTTAAACGTCTCATACAAGTAAGGTCATTCACATTTCCTAGTCCACAGAGCTTTGTACATAATCCACGAAACGATCAACAAAATCATGGCTGCTTCACTTGCATTGAAATAACTTGTCGACGCAAGCAGATGAAAAAAAAAATGTTTTAGGCACAAAACTCCACTTAAAACATTGCCAATAGTCATCAATGGATACAAGTAACAATTTGTTTATTGGGTTGGGTTAGGCCCTTTCAGTCTGATCATGTGACCAAGTGACAATCTCATACGTTTGTCGTTTCATATCTTCCCATCAGGATTACTGCAGACCATGAGTTTAAAACATAACCGCTCAAATCCCATAAACTCATTGACGCCAACCCGTACCTTTTCCCTCCTCGAAGCAGTCGACGATCTCCTTGGCGTATCCTATTGAGCACTCCTGAACAGCGGCCACCGGCTCGCCCCGACACCAGTCCAGACACCGAGTAGGCACGATCTTATTGGCACAGCAGCGCCGGTGATCAGAGCCATCTGTGGGTGGGAGGGGACACAGAATGTGATCAGAGCTGGGCATGGGTGGTCGCGGGAATCTAAAGACGTTTGCATCAATTTTTATTCGATCAATGTACTTTCTGCGGGCGATTTCCCTATTGAGTTCACTAGCCTTATCCCAAAGTTGCCAAAAACACCGCATAAGCTGATTAAATTTTAATTTAAAAGCTGATCGCATCTTTTTCAGTCGTGGACGCAACTATTTTCATTTCAACTGTTGCGTATTTAAGGACTGTATTGTAACCAGACTGCCTGTTGATGTTCGTAACGGTTGCACGGCGTACAGCAAATTGCTCATAAGTATAATGACTAACCAAAGCAACGCCTCTCAAAAACGTTACTTATGACGTCACTCACCTGCCGCACACGTCATCAGTTTTCCCATCTCTCTGGCACACTCTGGCATGGCCAGCACCGCGTCCAGATCGACGTCAAATGCGCATGCGCGCTGACACTGCGTGCTGACGTTGAGTCGGCGACAGCATTCGGTGACGCCGAGGTTGTACAGTTTGGGCGCCTCCTGGGGGTGGCGAGATGTAGGGGTTAGTTGAGAAAAGATCACTTCAACACTGCCTCAACGACTATATTTCTACCTACAAATATGTAACCAGCATCACGCCTGTGACTAAATTATTACACGTCTGTAACAATAAAAACGTCTTTGAGCACTCAAACACCGTTCCTCTTTGAGTCAAACTTCCGTCAAACATCGACAACGGAAGACAGCTGAAACATGTAACTTGTTTCGGGTATGCATATCCAGTGTCCATAGCATTCATATAAAGCGTTACCTATTCACAATCACGACCCCAAACTCCACTCCAAAACTTCTTACCTTCTGTTGGGTGAGCGTGACCAGCTTGGTCATACCACCAAACACGTTCTCGGCGTGGCAGTAGAAGTTGCCGAAGTCCTCCGCCGTCACCTGCTTGATCATCAACTCCATGGTGTGGTCTCCCTCCTGTTGATAGCGTCAACAGCGTCAGGACGGACTTCGACAACCAAGAGCAGACTCGACTAGGTTACTTGCCGTTCAGAGTTTATACTCTCAGATACATAGAATGAAATGGTTGGATACATTAGATGCACATTACAATAGTTGAAATCCTTGGCTATCACACGTTTATCACATAAGACTTGCCTTTGATTTATGAGTAACATAGTAGTGTGCATCATTCAGTACATTTATTAGTGCACTAAGCCTTCCACACATCGCTGGACTGGATGAAATCTAGGTCATCATCAAAAAGCTGTTGGTCCCGACTCTCAAACAAAGTGGTCGCCAACTTCTCACATTACGTTCTTTGACGCGCACTTCCTCAAAGAGCTTTGTTTGCTAGGCAGTACCAAAGTTTCAACACACGGGGCCGCATATGAGTCTCGCAACCCGTCAAAGTCTCGTATAAAACGAGCCCTGCAGACATCTTGTCTTTGAAGGGTCTCGAAATCACTTCCGAAGTCATCCTATTACGGTGGCGTTGGAAAGGAGGCTTACGTAAGGCTGGAATAAGGAAGGCCTCCGCCGCGTCGCAAAGGGTGGGCTTAACCCTCGCCCTGGCAGGGGGGGGTCGATGCGACCCCCCCTAAGGTTTTTCGAAGATAGCGTAAAAACGGCGGCGCGCAGCGCCGCCAAATTTGGCACAGCCTATGGGGCAACCTTTTTACATATGACCTGAAAATTTCAGGTCCGGGTGACCTTGGGTCAGGTCACCAGGTCAGAAAAACCAGTACAAGGTCATGGTCAAATTTCAATTTTCTTTTTCCACCTGTCCAACTCACAGTTTTGCACTGATTTCCTTCAAACTTTCAGGATGTGCTAAGTTCACCGATTTGTATAACATATAGTTCGGGCTTTTTGAGGTCACTGACCTGAGGTCAGTTAGAGGTCATTACGTCGTAATGTTAACCCTCGCATGTGTGCGGCGTTTGCCAGCTTCTAATGTGTAGGGGGGGGGTCGGTTGGACCCCCCCCCCTTGCCGTTTGGCCCCTGATCGAGCTAGAGCTTCGCGGAAAAAACGAGCGTGTTGCCCGTGACGAGAGGAAGCCGATGATACCCAATTTTAAGGTCCTAGGTCATTGGTTGACCTTCCAGGTCAGGTCAATGACCCAAAGTCGGGAAAATCGGGACCTGTTAGAAAGTCGTAAAGTGTGGCTGCTAAGGGGTTTTTCGGGGTGCTGATCTCGAATATCGTGTTAGTTTTGATCACAGATGATGTCTTGAAGCATTTAGACCAGGTCGGGTCAGGTCAGGTCAGGTCAACCAGTAGGCGTCGTGACGGGTATTCGTAGTACGTGTCAACCGCCTCTGACAGCTTCGTAACATGTTACGAAGTCACCAAAACTACTTCGTAAATGTTCAAATGGTTGCTAAATTCGAATTCAGCTCCAAAAACTAGCCTAGAAACATGTAAAACTCGAAAAAGTGACCCGAGGTCACCCGAGGTCACCAAAGGTCAATGACCTGACCTGACCTTCAGGTGACCTTGACACACACGGGAGTAACATCAAATCACATGTTTGAACGTTTGAAACCACGAAAAGCTTGCAAACACGCGGCTAGTGCGAGCCGACATACGCGAAATCGCGATTCCGGCCAAACATGGTCTCGGAAAAGAGGTCACAGGTCAAAGGTCATTTGGGTCAGGGTCATGAAATTTTCAGGGTAGGTGTAAAATTGATCAATGCGAGGGTACTGAAAGTTTCGTCGCGATCGGCCGCTTTTTACGCGAGTTATTCGCGAAAAACCATGGGGGGGTCCATCCGACCCCCCCCCCCCTACACATGCGAGGGTTAAGCCTATAGGAAAATACTAAATTCGGAAAATACTGGAGATATCCGCTTCGTTCTATCACTTTTGTGCTTTGAAACCACAGTACTTAACAGCAGGTCACTTGGTGCTTCTTTGTTTGGTGTACTTATCCATGGGTCAGGTCAAATGAGGTCAACTGAGGTCAAATGACGCTTTTGCCAATAACTTGGCACATAATGATGCTAGAGCTTAAAAAAATGGTATCATTGTGTTCCTGGTGATCAGCCAAATCGAATGATATGCGATATGATGCAATTTGGTTAACTTGAACTTAATTTATAAATTTAAGTTTACTTAAAATTTAAGAAAAACTTAAGGTGCACTTAAGCAAGCTAAAAAGTATATCATTCGACGCGCCTTGACGTGCTGAGTTCACTGGTGCTTTTCTTTTTGCTCTATCTTAATTAGACCAAAAGTTATAAGCGAAAAACTTTTGACCTGTTTTTCGCGAAATTTTTACATTTATACCCCCCAAAACCCCCCTAAATATTGACCTAGAGCAACGAAATTTGCACAGGGGCGAGAACTCCAGGGGGCCCACCTACCTACCATATTTGGTGTTTCTAGGTGCCATAGGAGCCAATCGCGAGGGGGGGGTCGCATCGACCCCCCCCTGCCAGGCCGTGTTATGAAAAATGCCCTGCCAGGGCGAGGGTTAAGCCGGGGTCTTTGGGGTGTCGCCATACTAAACCATTAAGTATCGAGTGGAATTATTAAGCAAAACTCTTGCCCTATAAATCAATGGACGGATAGGCCATTCAAACAATGATCAACAGAAACAATGGCTTTTGTGGGAAGAAATATCACTGGGAGTCTGATGAGTTTAGATGTCTTCACTTAGGAATAGTACTAAACAAAGTAGTTAATATATGTAATTGGATCACCGGCTACTAGTGTATAGTCTCTCTGCAGAGAGTGACCCATATAGTCTTACTACACAAACCGTTCCCTGGAAGCCTAAGCTCCTCATCTGTCCTTTCTGCACTTTTGACTTAGCTAACACCTCCTAACTCCTCCGTACCGTCTGTCCCGAGCTGAGAGTGATGATATAGTTTCCTCCGTCAATGACCAGTAACCACATAAATCCGTCTTACAATCAATCTTACACACTTGAGTCTTGACCTAGCTAACACCTCTTAACTCCTCGTACCGTCTGTCCCGAGCTGAGAGTGATGACATAGTTTCCTCCGTCAATGACTGCCTGGCGCTGAGATGGATCCCTGAAGAACACCATCTGTGGCTCGGGACTGGCGTCCACCTTACAGCGCAGGGTCACACTGCTGCCCTCCTTGGCCACGTAGGTGGGACGGGAGCGGATCATCGGACGACCTGAAAACGGTCATAACCGAGGTCAGAAGAACTGAAAGTGTTCTTTTTTCCATGAAGCTTATCGGCCAACGCCAAAATGACGAAAATATTGCAACAGATTTCCTCCAAAGTCCCTTAGTTGTAAGCTTGTATCTCATTGCAATGCATATCAATTACACTTTTGAATTAGCTCACGAAAAACCAGTAGCCAATAACCAGTAACGGTTTAACACGTGTAATTTACGGTATTCACATTTCTACAGCGATTACTCACGGCTGATGATAATGTGTCGAGTCGACTGCATCGGAGTGCCGTACCCGTTATCGGCATAACACGTCACCTGGCTCATGTCACGGGTCACGTTACGAATTGTCGTCACGAGGTGCCGCGTGCGACCCTGTTGGACAGACGGGGGAGGGGGGGTTGATGTGATGATATTGAGAGAAGTGATGTTTCGATAAGTGATGAATAACACATCAAGAAAGAGCGAGGCATAGTTAGCATCATATGTAGATAACATGAATTCACTGATTCACGTTATCTATGATAGCATGATTAATGTTATTTATGGCTGAGATTATCACTAAATTCATTATTCAGTCAATTCGAGACATTTGGATTATTCATATCGTTACAAACAGCTGTTAATTTATCTCGTCCAACTTCGCTTCATATTCACACAATTTCGCTACTACTCAGTCCAAATTATGAGCCGGGAACTTTGTAACACACGGAAAACAACCCAACCGAGATGTGAATAAACATGATACCAGACCGCTAGATTAGCGAGGCCTGGTCCAATTCGACACAACAACTCACTAACTTGGAGCAAATGGGGTAACAAAGTAGTTGGGGATTTATAACCGAGTAGAAAGACGATGAATTAATGTTCTGAGAGGGGTTATAAGCCGAGTTGTTTACAATGCAGTGTAAGGCAATAACAGTGTTATTGGAAAGTTGAAAACAAAGGCATTGTTTGAGCTGAGATCATAATTCTAATAATTCGCAATGCTGGAGAGCCTCGCTGCTCTCTCTCTCTCTCTCTCTCTCTCTCTCTCTCTCTCTCTCTCTCTCTCTCTCTCTCTCTCTCTCTCTCTCTCTCTCTCTCTCTCTCTCTCTCTCTCTCTTTCTCACTCACTCACTCACTCACTCACTCACTCACTCACTCACTCACTCACTCACTCACTCACTCACTCACTCACTCAATCAATCACTCACTCACTCACTCACTCACTCACTCACTCACTCACTCACTCACTCACGCACTCACCCCTCCCTCTCTCCTCTCTCCACTAGTCTCACCTCAGTCACGTGCCTCCCGTTGATGTAGAGAGCCACCGTGGGCTCGGGGGCCGCCATGGCGATACACAGTACGGTCATACTGCCTCCCTCCTTCACCATGTCCGTGGGGTGGATCGTAGGCAGCTGGGGGAAGACATCACATGGGGTCAGGTGGCGACAGTCGAAATATACGAATATGTGACACGAAATACACGAAAATCGGACACGAATTGTGACACAAATAGACGCGAATACACCAAAATAGTGTCAAAAGTAGCGGACCGAAAATGTCTGATTGAACTTGCAACCGCAGATTGTTTGAAATAGACAAACACTATTCGTTAGAATTGTGTTTTTTATTGAAAAAACAACCGCAGCAGTTTGAGGTTGGGGCATGTTTTCCATAATGGAAGTCCTACTACATTGTTTGAGATCATTTCTGTAGGATAGATTGCCATTGCCTTGTGAACCGTCAAAGGTTTCATATTAATGTAACTATTCTGCCTTTAACCCGCGAGTTGCTGGGGGGGGGCGTTAAACGCCCCCACTTTTTTCGCCGGGCCATAGCATAAAAACGGCGCGCCGCAGGCGCGCCAAATTTTGGGTACCTGTAGGGAATTGATTGAAGTGTATTGTGACAAAGTTTCAAAAAAATCCGTCGGAAAATTTTTGAGATATCGAAGTTTTAGTGACGTCATGATTTCTGAGTTTTCGACCAAAAACGGCATGTGTTCAAAAAATGATATAAAATCACAGAATAGACATACAGACATGCCGTAAACGCCATTAGACTGCCAATACCATGAACAATCAAATGGCTATCTTCGATTATTGATTATCGATCCGAATTTTCCAAAATCTTGAACTGAATCTTGGCGATTTCTCGTGACTACTTCACGACCATGATACATACATTTCTTAAATTGAACTTTTTGAGCCAAACACGTACACATATGACAAAATGAATGTCACCATCGTGTTCTACGCCCCAAATTACCCATAAAACATGTGTCACAGGCTGCGAATATCAGTTTTGATTTTCGGGGATATGTGCCTACCCGGTTGACCTGACCTTGACCCTGACCTATGCCTGACTGACCCCTACATGGAGCTGACACTCTTGTAGACCTTATATGATGGATTGTGCACCGTTTTGACAGAGTTTATCACGAGAACCGCCCATTGCGAAGTCCTGAAATCCATGCTACTGAAAGCCCGATTTCAGGTATTTGACCTGACCTTGACCCGACCTGTGACCTCGAAATTCAACTTTAAAGTACTCATCTGAAGCGTCTCGTCGCGTTCTTTCGTTTGCCGCCTCGTGCGTTTCGCTGCGCCTATTGGTTCTCGAGTTATCGGCTGGGGGCGTTTAACGCCCCCCCCCCCAGCAAACGGTGGGTGGCGAAATACCCCAGCAACTGCCGGGTTAATTGCGCTATATGAAGATCACTCATTTATGCAAGGGGTGAGAACATTATGATATCTTTGAAAAAAATGCACTAATAAATTCGCATTAATAATTAGCATAAGCCACACTTCGTAGTTGAGCGATCGTAAACGAATACACAGCGATCGATCGACTTCGAAGCGTGGCTTATAATAATTATCTATGTTACCATTCCAGCACGGCTGTCCGCCCCTTAGAGCGGACAACTCACCCCTTAGCTTTAAATCGGATCATTACACGAGCATTTTTATCTCAAATAAACCAAGACAAACGCTGAATCCGTCCCTCGGAAACCAATTACAGACCCTTCATGACCATACTCGCGCAGTTCATCGACAATTTGCACCTCATTTTAACCCGCTCTCCCGACCCCAGACCACAGTCTATTCTCAAGTTTCTGACGCGTGCCGCGCCTGACTACAACACTCATTAGTTGTTCATGACCCGTCTGAGCCAGCCAGAGCGGCTTATTTGGCCACAAATTACACGGGGAGTGTTAAACAGGCAGGCTGAGGCTTTGGACAGGGCTAGGGGTATAGGCTAAGAACAAAGCCGGAGTACGACAGGGGATTGACCGTTTTGGTTATAAATAGGGAATCGACTAAGAGCACATCAAAGCGACTTCTGGGTCAAAGCAGCTCATATCTCGACTTGGACGATGGAGGTATACTATACCGGGATTTTACCCAGCTTAGGTAACGTAGCTCATGAGAGAGTTTTATCGGAATAAATGTTTCTGTTATACTCACAGGGATGTGTGCTCAAGGAAAAACGCTAATGGTATGGGACATATTGGTATGGAAAATGCATCGCAAATAGACCGAAAAACCGGGCATGTAACAAGAAGCATGTGGAGCAGTCTGGTAAGAAGAATTGTAGTGAATATTTTCAATTCAGGAATGGCTATTTAGCCAAAGAGCTGTTTCTTCACGAAAATGAGGCTTACGAACTTTATCCCATTTAACCTAGTAATGAACAAGCTTCCTCATCTCCATGTAGACAGCTTAGTCAGGTGACTCATACCTCGACGTAGGCAGGATATGCAGGGCTGGTCCACATCTGTAGAGTTTCTGACGGTCGGCTCTCACCCAATCCGCTCAGCGCAGTCACAAAAACACTGAAACGCATCGGTGAAACATTCTCAGACGGGCAGGACAAACAGTCTGAAGCATACCGGACAAAACACACTGAAACGGATCGAGGAACATAGTTACATACTGAAAAGTGCACGTCAACATTCTGAAAATGTCACAGAAGTTTCATTGTGTACCCAACAAAGACAATGAAATATAACCGAATGAACAGCTAAAACATCTGAACCAATGTCATCGATACGTTAATTTTTATATTGTCCGCACATATGTACATTTTTACGTTACGGCACCGTATCAAGTACTATGAAGAAGTTATCTACCCTCCATTTCTGTACGCGTCATATAATCCACAGGTTGGACCTTTATTTCAAGTCACTGAACTCTATAATGTTTCAAGTACATCACGTTCCTCAGCTGATCCTCCATCTATCTCACCTGTACTGAGAGTTGGGCGTCAGTTTGACCAGCTTGAGCAGCAGCGCCGCCGTGGTGACGTTGGTGTACTCTGTGGCGTTCGGACCGCGGTAGGACACCCTGTGGGGTGGAAGGGGATCGGTCTCAGAGACTACACATTGCTATAACGCGCTTCGGATGGCGGTAGGACACCCTGTAGGGTAGACGGGGTCAGTTTGCGAAGCTACCTTCACTTAGACAACTCAACACTACACTAGACACGGTCTTAGCCCGCCTCGGACCCCGGTAGGCATAGGCGTAGGAACAGGGGGGGCCGGGGGGGCCATGGCCCCCCCACTTTCGGAGGTGGGGGGGCCAGCAATGTTAACTGGCCCCCCCACTTTTTGCTGACTTAAGTGTCTGTCTGTACCTAACCTACCACCCGGTAACTTGACAACTATTCAGCTTGCCCTTTAATGAGGATTCCTTTTTGTTTCTACAGCGTTATTGACCGCAATTTCCTTCACTCAATGAAGGAAACCATATCAGAGACAAGACTGTGAGTCCTGGTGACAGCATTTTGTTGAATACGAGGCGCGGGACAGCGAGCACTAAAAAGGTATAGGCAATACTAAGACAATACTAGCACGGTGCAGGAGAATGCGTTTACAAACGACCAACGCTTGACCTTATCTGCTTGGGGTCGGCATAGTTCGTCAAAGGCGTTCTAGCTGGGGGCCAGGGTGACCGTGCCTCAGCCTCGGTTCAAACAGGCTGGGGGCCAGCAATGTCTGTTTCTGCCCCTCCCCCTTCCACTTTCAGTGCAGTGGCGGTCGCAGAGGGGATCAGGGCCATGCCCTTCCCCCTCCAAAGGCTAATCAGGGGCCATCATATCATTTGCCCCCCCCCCCCAACAACCAATGGGCCCCCATGGGCGTATGGGGCTCTGGCCCTTATTCGATTGTCACGAGACTCAAGAATCCCACGCTAGCTATTAACAGCTCCCAAATCAGTCTTTGAGGGTCCTACACTGATCTCGGAGGGCCCTTCAGTGGCGGTCAAGCGACCACATTGACCGCTGAGAACCCACATTGACCTCATTTGAGGGCCCCTAAACCGGCCTCAAGGGCCCAGCCGGCGTCTGAGGGCCTCACACCGGCCTCTGGTGGCCTCATTTCTGTCTCTGGGGTCCCAAGACTAGCCTTTAGGTGCCTTTGAGGGCCTCGCACTGAATTCTGAAGACCCGATGCCGGCCTCTAAGGGTCCGCATCGGCCTCTGAGGGTCCACCTTGGCCTGAGGGGTCCAACGCCGGCCTATGCCGGTCTTTTAGGGCCCCACACTGACCTCTAAGGGCCCATGCTGACCTGTAAGGACCCACATTAGCCTATGAGGTTTTGCACGGGATTCTGAAGACCTGATGCCGGCCTCTGAGGCCCATCTTGGTTTTTGAGGGCCTTCTGCTGGTCTCTGGGTTCCAACACCGGCCCATGCCGGAATTTTAGGGTCCCACATTGACCTCTAAGGGCCCCGCACTGGATTCCGGAGTTCCGATGCCGGTCTCCAAGGGTCCGCATCGGCCTCTGAGGGCCCACCTTGGCCTATGAGGGCCCTCCGCTGGTCTCTAGGTTCCAAGTCCCGCCCATGCCGGTCTGTTACGGCCCCACACTGACCTCTAAGGGCCCATGCTGGCCTGTAAGGACACGCATTAGTCTCTGAGGGCCTTGCACTGGATTCTGAAGACCCGATGCTGGCCTCTGAGGCCCATCTTGGTTTTTGAGGGTCTTCTGCTGGCCTCTGGGGTCCAACACAGGCCCATGCCGGCATTTTAGGGTCCCACACTGACCTCTGAGGGCCCATACTGGCCTGTAAGGACCCACATTAGCCTCTGATGGTCCAAGTCGGCATCTTAAGGTCTCATCCTGCCCTTTGAAGGCCCTGTATTGGTCTCTGAGGGCCTTAACCCTCGCCGGCCGGGGGGGGGGGCGGGTGCCGCCCCTCCTTAGTTTTTTTCGCGATAGCTCCGAACACGCCGGCGATAGAGAGCTGAAGCTTGGCATACCTGACCTTTGAATCAAACGGGATCTTTTGACACCAACCGCATTTTCGAGTCAGATCAGGTCACTGACCCATGTGGTCATAAGTGAACCTCTGCACGGTCTTCAGATGTCGCAACTTCGCAACGCCCTCACTGCCAGAGGAGATTTCACAGGGAAATGAACCTTGGAGGACCTAGTATCCAATAGGAGTCTCTCAACTTGTATAATGTATATCTCGGATTTTTCCTAAAGTTCATATGAGGTCAGGTCATTTTCGTGACCTCACCATTAGGTATAAGTCAATGAGGATAAACTGAAAACTTTTTCTGGCGCCGGGAACGATCGAACTCCAACTATCTCAAGCACACCGAATCGTGATTTCATGCACTCCTTGCAAGGTTCGATGCGTCACTTTTGCAATGTTGACCTTGCGCGACGTCATTTATGAAGTTATAAGGGTCTTATTAGTTTTTCGTCAATAACTAGGTACCGATCAAATTGAGCTAGCGAGTCGGGAAAGCCACCTATGGACTCAAGAAGACCTGCCGAATCGAATGATATGCGACATGACCTCCTTCGACCAATTTCGTGACCTGGGGACGCCGACCTGACCGTGACCCGAGATCAACACCCTAAGTTTACCTCACCCAAACAAAAAGTATATCATTCGACGCGCCTGAGAGAGGCGAACACGATGCTGGCCAAATCGCGGCTCTGCGGCCATTTTTTGCGAAGTTATTCACCAAAAACGGAACCGTGCCTTGACGCACTTGACCTGACCTCAGAGGTCACCGGTTTTTGTTTGTTTTGTTGGGTTAGGCCCTTTCGGTCCAATGAGACCATTTCAGAGCCGGAAGGATGATAGGATATAGGGGGAGACATTGGTCTGGGCAGGCACCCTAGTGAGTCGCCGGGGCTGAGCCCGTCCAGAGGACAGGCCACCCAGCCCCAAGGCACTCACTGCACCCGGCTACGGGGTGCGCTCCCTCGGGAGCAGCGGTGCCGCTCCAAGGGAGCAGCCCGCATGAGATAAAGTTGCCTGTCCAGCCCGGAGGGGGTTGCGGTGTGGAGGAGAAGGATTTCAGTATCCTGAGGATAAGCACGGAACGGTGTCAGAGGTCACCGGTTGACCTAGGACCATAAAATCGGGTATCGATCTCTGCGTCTCGTAACGGCGCACACGCTCGTTTTACCGCGACGCGCTAGCTCCACCTGGGGCGAAACGGCGAGGGGGGTCGTACCCGCCCCCCGCCCCCTCGGCCAGCGCGTATGTAGAAAACCTATAGGACCGGGCCGTGGAGGGTTAAACTGGCCTCTGAAGGCCCAGACCGTCTAAAAGTCCCACACCGGCCTCTGATAAGTGATAGTCAATCAGCCCAGTTGCAGGTGGTCGCTGATATAAAACCTCTTAAAAACGTTATAGGCCTGGCTGAGCCTAGCTGGGCCGTTCATGCTGATTTTTATAGGTATATTGAAAAGACTCGCTTTGCACGTTTCACGCTTGCTCGTAATGAAAAAGTTGCTGGATGCCTCTGGAATTTGCATGGGTGCCGACGGCTGCGGAGGACAGGGGAACGTGTCCATCAGTTTGAGTTTATGGACGGGAGACTCCCTGAAATTTCAACCATTTTTTTTTCTTTTTTTTTGTCTCGATTTTTTTTTTTACCTCTGAGCATGTTTGCGAAAACAAAGTGGCCGAAATCCGAGGAGAAATCGGATTTTGGGGGTAGGTTAGGTTTTGGACCTCTGGGACCCTGGCCCCCCCACTTTCGAAAACGTTCCTACGCCTATGCCGGTAGGACACCCTGTAGAGTAGAAATGTAGCAGGTACCGTCCACCACAATGCTTGCTAAGTAGGTGCGCAAGGGTGCTTCCAATGTAGCATCGCATCATTGAAACCGTTCAGTTTGTAGAAGGTAGATATGGAGGAAGAAATAAAAAGAGACGGCAATGATGGCAAAAAAAATCCTGCAGCGTAGGGCTTCCTTTCGTGTTACACTATACCAGGCCAACACCAGATCCCTCTACGCCTTACCAACGATCTCATTTCCAGCTAACGAACCATGAGCTCCAGAAGCCAGCGATCCCCGAGGGAAGTGTGCGTGGCTGCCAATTTGATTTACCCACCCTTTCCCGTCCCAAAGTTTCCGCCACCCCACGTGGCTACCCTGGCCAGCAAATTGGCCCAGATGAGGTCATTTGCGTTCAGCCATGGTTTTGGCACGTAATTAACAAAAGTTATAGGACAATTACGCGGCTTTAGTACGTGGCAAATCTTTTCGCAAACTTTCGTCAGCTTGATAAGGCTTGGCTGCGAAAGACAAAGAGACGTTTCTTAGGCTTTCTTAGGCGTTTCTGAGAAGACGAGATTATACTAGGCCTATGAAAATATAGAATAGCTGCGGGTAACAAGTAGCAAGACATAGACGATGAAAAAGGAGCCTCTCGCGAGCAGTAGACTGAAAGTCAGGAAGTTATCTTCTAATATGCTTTTTATCTCAGCGCATTTTAAACATAACGAACAATGTCACCGAAAAATGATGTATCTAACACACTTGTATACCTGAGCCTTATCTCGCTGTATCTCACTGTATCTCACCTATACCTGAGTCATATTTCACCTCTATCTGAGTAATATCTTACTGTATCTCACTGTATCTTACCTACATTTAAGCTGAATCCCACTGTATCTAATTGTATCTCACTGCATCTCACCTGTATCTGAGTCGCTCGGTGGGGTGTGAGATGACGGGCGGCGCCCAGCTGACAGTGAGTTGAGTCGCCGACAGCTCAGATACACTCAGACTGTGAGGGTGTGACGTCACCGCCTTCTGCATGACGTCACCTGAGGGAAGGACAGAACGTGTGTTAATGACATCATGCTGCATGCATTTTGTTAGAAAAAACACAAGCTTTTCGTCCATAACAAATAAATTGCCAAGAACAGACGTATTTATTAAAAATACGTGGAAGAGATTTGACCTTTGAAGAGGTTGACATCAGCACATTCCCTACTGCCTTTCAGAACGTAGATAAGCAAAAGTAATAAATTGACAAAAAAGCAGCAATTTTAGCGCTTAACATTTCCGCGTTTTTATCACGGCACCATATTTACAATTGCAGAATAAAGGAATACCTACCACTCAACCAGGCTTCATAACAAACATTTTGCAAGCACGAGGGTTGAGGAGCGAAACCAGTGAGAAACGAGCCACAGTGAATGAACGGGATGGAATAGGATTTTTGTGTTTCTGTGCTGGCACTCCACCCAGACAGCTAATTTGCCTTTGCCAAGGGTGACGCATTAGTGTTGGGTGTAATCATGCTGAAAAGGAATGGGATGAGCGGGAGAAGGAGAAATGCAGGTGATTAGCATCTAACTAGATGCAAGAAATGAGAATATAATGGGAAGGAGCGGGAAGACAAAGAGAGGGGCGCGGTATAATGAAGAGAGGAGGATGGAGAAATAATCGACCTGAGAGAGAGAGGGGGAGACAGAGGGAGAGAGAGAGAGAGAGAGAGAGAGAGAGAGAGAGAGAGAGAGAGAGAGAGAGAGAGAGAGAGAGAGAGAGAGAGAGAGAGAGAGAGAGAGAGAGAGAGAGAGAGAGAGAGAGAGAGAGAGAGAGAGAGAGAGAGAGAGAGAGAGAGAGAGAGAGAGAGAGAGAGAGAGAGAGAGAGAGAGAGAGAGAGAGAGATACAGATACAGATACATGTACAGGTACAGGTACAGGTACAGGTACAGATACAGATACAGATACAGATACAGATACAGATACATATACAGATAAAGATACAGATACAGAAGAGTAGGGAGAACGTCAGATAGATGAGCAAAGACGGGCAGACGAGAAATTGTATATGTATTTCATCATAAGAAAAAATTGCATATATCAAACCCTAGAAGTAGCAACATAACTCAGACCATCGACAGAGAGAGTAGGAGGTTAAGAAAGAGCTCGGGAGAGTCGTCGAAGGCTGCTGACCACGCCAGAATGGCTGGCGACTCCGTAAAAACGTGACTGATGGTTGCTTGGATCCGCCGGTCGTGTCATCGAGGGACGGCCAGAGACGATTGAGGAACAATATGATACGGGGTTCTCTGGCAGAGATGCGGTCAGATTGCAGTTGAGAGTCAGTAAGGAAGGCTTTCAACGCGGAGTTTGGAGAGTGGGAGTCAATATTCGAGGGTGGTGTTCATTTTTTAAAGTTTCTGCTCATTATAGCGAGCTGGGATGGCAATCATAATGGACAATAAGGCAAAAACTGTTCTGAAATTCTAGAGGCAGTAGCCATACTCCACAACTTTCGAAACAAACATAACTAATTGCAATTCCACAGCAATTTACCACGCTAGAATTATGCATTAGCGGAAGAGCTATGAGTTTCACTATTATGTCGATGGTTGGTAGAGCGAAGTACCCGGTACTTGGTACTTACCGTGCTGGTCGGTGACGTTGATAGTGATGATAGAGCTGGGCAAAGAAGTACCGTACTCGTTGACAGCCACCACGGTGAATCCGTACAGCTGACTGGCGGTCAAGTTGTCCACGAGCGCGAACTGGCCAGTTACGTTCAGCTCCTGACGGGGAAATTCATTCGTCACCAACGTACTTTACCCCAGAACATCACTATAACATTATATAAAAACATTGTGCAACACTCTACGAGCTATCAGCAGGCTACATGAAAAGAACTTAAACTAATTTGCAATCATATTTCAATCAGATAGTGAGCAAAGGGAATAAGAATCAGGGTGTTTTACGACTGCAAAGTCGATGACTGTAGTCGATAGCTTGCGTCTCAGCGCGCACCCATACTCAAAGCATCTATGCATATTCGTATCAGATCTCATCCAGACCTCATAATATCATCCACTGCATCACCACGCCTTACAGTTTATAGCAGCGCATCGAAATCTGTCACCCGGGCTCTTTAACCTAGAGATTTTACTGCTCTCTCGGGGCGGCATTAGGCTGCCACGTCGCGAGAGCCATCACAGTTGACCTTTCACCAGCCGGAAATTTAAATTGTAAATGGCTCCTAAGGTAGAACGTCCCAGACAAAACTGCTGCCTGGAGCTCTCAAGTGCGTCTCGTGTTAAATCGACGGTCAGTTACAGAAAGTCGGTAGGTCAGTGTCCCGTTAAGGTATCGCTGGATTTATTAATTCCTTCATTCATTGCAGTCATGAATCAATGATCCACAGTACGTTCAAGTTTAACTCCAAGTGAATAGGTTATTTCTCGTTGCTTAACTTCTAGCGGCGGCAACCTGTACCCAATGAACTTATACAATAGAAGACCTTAGAAAACGAATTAAATGGAAGGGTAGTTCCTGCACCGCACGCAGACTTTTCTTTTGTTAGTTCGCTTTTGCTTCAGCAAT